CCATCAACAGCCCCAGCGTTCGACCGGCCGACCAATGTACAACAAATCGATTTGTTCGTGAACATACGAGAGCAAGCCGTGCAAACTCAGCCATGCATTCATAGTGCCACAGCACTGTATGGTAAATTTTCTTCTCTATTGTATTTTATGGCTTCAGAGAATAATAATGTCATGTCCTCTTACAAGCGACAGGGCTGAGTACTACATTTTACTACTAAGTAGTACTTTGTAGCATTCGGGACTGTTAGGATTAAGTGCCTTTTCTAGCCTGCACATGATGACATATGTTCCAATACCATCCCCGCTAACATTTTATGAGGCTTCCTGGCAGTAACAAGGCGGGGGTTTCATGTCTCTGCGTGAAACATGAAGTGATAGCTTTCTTTGGTGGTGACATCACAAAACAAAACACGAACAATCAGACCGTGTGTACACGTTCCATAGCATGCAGAATGTATGAAATCCATACTTTATCGGCTCATGTCAACTTTGTTCATCATTTATGTGTGAAATCTGCTACACTTGCCCCCGTTGAGCGTCATGGTTGATATGAGGCCAAGTTATTTTTAGCAGCAGTACAGGTGCAGTGAACAAATATAACGTGGTCACAGGGTAGACAGTTGATTAAATAGCTCCCCTTCAACTAGGGAGTAGACAAGCTGGTTCCAAAGATGAAGCCTGTGGAGCTAGTTTGTCAACTGCCAATTTGCCTCCAGCAGAAGCACCCCCCTTAACGGTTGAAAAGAACCATGTTGGTGGGGAGTGCTCATTTTGTTGGTGACGATGCAACCGTAACGCACTCAATTCATAGTTGTGGACCAGCAAAATGCAGTTCCTACCAAAGGAGCCTGCGTTGCTAGGAAAATTGCACCCTCTCTTGGTCCAGCTCGGGGCTCATACTGAGGGAGCCAATCATCAACTATCCACCCCATATGGAGTTTTTCTAAACCATGCTATATATGTTTTACCATACATGTACATGTACCTCACATGGACATATTCAGTTGCCATTAAAATTTCAGGAGCAAGGAAAAGGCAGCGTAACATCCGTATATTCATGTGTCCTGTGTGGTATATCTAGGGCGATGCCTCGATGCGCATGCTCCCATTGCATGACAGTCCCACTAGACTGTGTAGTACACGAGTATTTGCCTTGAAATGCAATGATCCATGCGTGAGCCCCTGGCAAACAGCACAAACAACAACTGGCATGTGATGGCAAATGGACCAATGAAAATTCAGCTCCTTATCATGAATATGTATGAGGGTATGGTACAGAGCATTCTTACCCATGAATCAGTATCTTGTATCCAAAACCTTGCCTAGGGCTGCAATTCACTAGAATAGGGTTCTTTTAATTAGCCACTTGCTGCCAGTGGTTTGAAAAATGCAGCGCACATAATCGCGACATTTTCAAGACTTTCAGTTTTCAAAATTCTTCAAAAATTCATCATTTCAATTAATGGATGTTTACACCCACACAAATGACTGTCTGGTGGCTACTCAAGTCTGACAGACAAAATCTATTGACGCCGGAGTATTTCAGCCAGGCCTGCAGCCTTGTTAAAAGAGGCCAGATTGTGCGGTGTTATGTGACTTTCTTTTGTTCACGAACCTGGCACAGTGCACTGCTGACCTCTTTTCAGTAGGGGCCAGATTGGCATGCAGTGGTACTGTGTAGCTCATCGCTGCGGTGGTGGAGCGCTTTTGTCCCCAGTGGTAATCCGTTTGCACTAAATGCCCAAAACCATGGTATACCGTTTCAAAATATTGCTGGATTATCTGCACTATTGAGAGTGAAAAATATTGGTAATGCCCAGCAGCCTGGTCTTTTGTTCCGAGTATGGTCTTTTGTTACAAGGCCCAGTTCCTTTTGTCTGATTTCGGAGACCCCGGCCTCGTGTATAAAGCATACGTGGCCAACAAGTTACTCTGCTAAGCAGAAATCAACACAGATCCTTCTGCACACAATATGTGTGCACAATGCATGAAAGTTTGGCTGGTAGCCTGCTTCACGTCTGTCTGTGCTTCACGTATGCTTCACATATGCTCATGCCTCTCATTTAAATGGTGTGAATGCATACTGAATCCCACTACAGCCAGAAGCGAGTAGAATGGTTCCTGACTCCGGCAGGTGGACCCCAAAAGTAATTGATCAACATCAAGCTCAACTAAAGTTGTTTGCCCCTCATTTCCAGCCTGATTACAATTCAAACACTCCAAGTCCCGTCTGCTATCTTGTACACGATAAAAATCCATTTTCTGCCAAATTTTTCACCATCTTTGCCACGTACCTCCAAAGTAAACGAGTCAGAAGTTGGAAGTGAAGCCAACATTTAGAGGCCGGGTTTTTTTTCAGTTTTTGCCGGGTTTTCCCTGACATTTCTCTACTTGTGAAAGGTGAGGGAATATCATGAACGCTCCTATGAGAAAGTAGGAAACTGAATGAATGGGAATGGAAAGTTTTTGCTTGTGCCTTTTAGTCATGCAATATGACATCATTGTACCGCAATGCAGTGAGAATCAACTCGTACCCAAATTCACTCGTCCCAAGGTGTGTGTGCGTGTACTGTGCGTGTATGCCGTGCCCAAAATCCAGACATCGTATTTTTGACCGCTGTCCGGTCATGTCGGACTCAGTGCGGAAATTTGAATCCGCATGAAAAAGGAACCGCATTTCAGACAAATGGCTCTCGATCTTGGAGAAATGAACTGATGGATACAAACGATTCACCAGTCTTCCACACCGTAACACCCATGATCTGAGGGGGAATTCGACAAAAGTGTAAAAATTGGACACTAAGTAAGGTGAAAAATATGAAATATGACGAAAATGGCTGCCAATGAACAATGAAGTGAATTTTAAAAAGGTTTTCCGATTAAAAGTACCGGTAATAAACTGTTTTGTTTATAAGAATTACTGGTCTTTCATGTGACATCAAATCTATGTGAAGGTAAACCTGGCAAAATTTTGAAAACGAGACACAGAGTTGGGTAAAAACCGGCAATTTAAATAATTATCCTTTGTCATAAAATTGACATTTTTCCACTTGATTATTTTCCGGAGATCTTTCTTACTGGAAACTTTTAAATCTCACCATTTGATAGATTCTTGGCAATTTATTCACACACGAGGTCTTCATGGGAGGACAAATCCCTCACATGGGTCACCACCGATATGCGTCGTCTGCTAGAATAATTTTTCAGGCCAACGACCACATCACTATTGCGCATGCACGAATACACAAACTAAATGCACGCACAGTCTATGGGGACCGAACATACATGGCTTAGCAAACTTTAGTGGTTCCCAGCTCCATAAAACTGGCTCACTACAGTGTCTAAACTACATCCCGGCAGTGTACTGAACATGTTCGTGCTTATTTTGCATTAAAACTTTACAATTCACTGCAATTTACACTTAAGATGTAACATGAGACATTTTGATTATAGGCCAAACAAAAAATTAGTTGTGTTTCCTATTTCACTGAGAAATAAATTAGGGTGGTCAGTTGGGTAAAATATTTTCTTTTACTCTAAATTTTTAATGCCCCCAAAATGAGGGTCGGATGATAGTCTATATTTATTTGTGAGGGGGGATTGCATATATTTGTTACAGGTACTAAGTCAGTACTGTGATTGAGTAGTAAAGCGGCTAGTTGTTGAAATACAAACACACAAGAGCTGCGCAAAAAAATTAAAATACAATGTACAGGACGATGTACACAAAATCAGGCTCGGGGCAAGGCACCATAAGTTTTTATATTTTATCGATTCGTCGAATAAAAAGATGCATGATTTTCTAGGTTGGGTCGGGTAACCTGAAACAAGGCGATATTTCTGTTGGCCTTACAGGCAAAAATTACTGTTTTGTGCTTAAAGTAATACACATTCATTCCAACAGTACGTGTATGTGAAAATAACTGCCAATGGAAATTCCCTTGAACAGGTTGGCATTAAAGGTGAAGTTCAATTTTCTGGAATTTTCTATTCTGAGCTGGTCAGCATGATTTCGGAAGAAAATCCAACATGACTGCAACTTCTCAAAACGGAACAAATTTTATACCTTACCACAAAGATGTTAAGAATATTTGGCTTTGCTTGTGTACAACAAGTCTATAAATTTCGTTTTTTAATCTCAAGCTGTACACTGTGTCCAACAAACCCATGAGACACTGGGACAGAACAAAGACAATGTATGCAAAAGGAAATTGAAAGATCGGGTGACAGAAAAAAAACACACTTTTTACTCTCAATACCTCAGTCTTGTTTTTCATTTAATAGCCATTTCAAATAAAGTTACGTACGTGTATTAACATGCACTCGCACCACAGTACTCAATCCCTTCTCATGCCTGCACCACGCAAGGATTTTTTTTCCAAGTTGATGCAATGCAAACCCTTCGGAATGTTTAACCGGTCTGGTGAAATTTTCAAAATAAAAATCAGTTAACATGGTTAAACTACATTTAGGCCTAATGGCAATGGGTGTACACCAAAATGATACTTCATTTGGTTAACTGAGGTATGCCATGTCAATTTTTTTTCTTTTCTTACACAACTATCATGACGAAAGTTGTGCAACAAGGCCCTTATCAACACGATGAAAAAAAAATGGTGCCACATGGGACCTCCAACTTATTTTTTTTTCAGATGAAGAAATTTCGGGGCAGAAAAACCAGCCTCTGTCTTTTCACCGCATCTATTCTATAAATACTCCTTAGTGATGCATAAGCAGAGCATAAAAATGAGAAAATTATGGGACAGAGACGTCGACACACATCGCTACGATCCGTACCACTCCGCGCACCACCACCAGTGACAAAGCACAACAAAAAATGGTTTCCGTGCTGACTCAAAGCCCGACGAAGTGTTTGCACACGGCAAATTTTCCTACACGACGCACCGAGCAGGCGACCAAATGCCATCATGAAAACACCCCTTTTTGCCCTCCCACTGGGACAAATTCGGCCATTTCTGATAAAGAGAGGTGATACCTACACAATGGCGGATTTCAGTGGATTCTCGAGTGGTAGAAACGGGTGAAATGACGCCGAAATTGTCGGCAGAATTTTCCACCTTATTTGACGAATCGGCCTCCCCTGCCTGCAGAACGTGAGATGACCTCTGCTCGAGCCCTTCCGGTTGCGTCGTTCTGCACAGCCTCAGTCTGTCCCGCACGAGAAGTTGCCCTCGTGGATGATAGAATAAAAATCTGAGATATTCATCATGTTCAAAGAAAACTTAATAACACTTTGAAAGAAATTTTAGTCCTCATTTTCTCGGGAGTTAAGTTCAGCCCAAACTTCACCGGCAAACTTGCTTCGTCACAAAATGCGTTCTCTCGAATAATGCATACAAAGTCCATGTCAGCAAGAGAGGGCGCTACACAAGTTTAATGGTGCGCTCCGTTAATTCTACATGCATATGAACTCGAGCTGGACCCCACAGCAACGGAGGCTCCTTCGGGCGGAACTTCACTTTGCTGGTTCAAGAACGACTGTGAAATGCATGCGTTACGCTCGCGTCGCTACCAGCAAAAAGAACACTCCCAACCAACGTGACTCTGTTCAACCAATGAGGGGGTGCTTCTGCTCAAGACAGATTATGCTGAGCGCGATCAGTCGACGTACGGACCTTCAATGCGATCAGTCGATTTTATATATATATTGCATAATCAGTAATTCCGCCATTGGCAAGATTGTTTCAAAAAGGGAAGGAAAACTAGAGATTTCATTCAGGATCGACCAGTTGTGCTCAGAGACCGTGTTGGGTGATCGTGCAAATTGGCCGGTCGCGCCACCAAATACATGATGAAATGGGGTTGATAAAGGGGAGCCCACAAACATAATTTTGTCTCCTCGTCCGAACGGTAACGACATATTCAAGCGGGGGGGGGACATTTCCCCCGTTGACTGCAGACTAGTGTTTTTATTTTATTATTATCTACCGTTATTGTGACATCAGACCGCAGGTATAGGAACGTAGCCCACTTCTACGCTCCTGGTATGCATCGTCTGTTCCGTTAGGGAAGTTGATTTGCTTTCATTTTGTTTTCTTTCTCATTCCAATCAAGTTTTTATGACAGATGAGACAATTTTCCTTATGATCTGCCTCTTTACGCCAGATCACCAACTCTGTTTCAGAACTTAGTTTCAGAAGTCACCGTAAGCCTATGGGCTCGCAGTTTCAAACATAAACGTTGTTTTCTCCCATCAGTCACTTTCATCGGTTTATAAACGGTCTCCGCTCCGCAAGAAGGCCCAAAGGAGATGTGCTTCGTTTGGTCTGTTTGGGAAAGCAATGAGACTGCCACACCCATACCAAATCCACTAGCTCTAATTTTACATGTGTCAGAGCACTGATTTTATATTATATTCTTGTCGATATTCTGATCACAGTGCTACGCAGCCCTTCCATATTTCACAGAATAATGTGGTACGTCTGTGTCTTGTATGCCACAAGGCATTATTCCTTGTTCCATTATTATATGAGTGCGAGCGTTCTGGATAACGAATTTATCCGCAAGCAAACTTGACGCGCACGCGCAGTAAAGAAAGTAAAGGGGCCTAACCGCGCAAGCCCACGGTAAAAACAGTAACATCGATGTACCACAATTCAGCATTTTTTAAAAGTTTTTTTTGGGGAGCATGGGAATATTTGTTTTTAACTTATTTCAATACACGTGTATTTAAACACATGAGACGGTCAGCACGGTCAACCATGCCACTTTTGAATTTAAAGTCAGTCATATACAGATGTGCGATCGCTTAGAAAAAACGTCAAAATAGCACAATGCATTGAGTTAGAACAGTACGCAGGGCTAGGCTTGATATGAACCGTGCAATACGGTTATATCACACTGGTTGTTGCCATGGATCAACCAATAAACTGACAATTCATGTTTGCCTGAAGATAATACATTTAAACACATTTCTAAACACAATTTTGTGTAATTAAAATATTACAACATGTAAACGAGTACGTTGGTACTTTGCAAACTCTAAGCGCTGTTTTTATGGTGTAAGCAGTTTCATTTTGCATGCACACTATGAATATGAATATGTAATACACAACTGAAGAACAATCAGGAAGAGTTGTCAGTAGACGGGTTAGCTCTAGTTTGTTTTTAATGCAGTACTAGTGTACTAAAAAAAATGGACACGAATCTTAAATCCGAAGGCACAAAGCAGGATTTATTCCAAACTTTACTGACTGATGGAAAGGTGAAATATCACCTACATCGGTGGGGTGGAATCCAAGATACTCGGGTGACAATTAAATAGAGAGCGCCATTAAATTAAGGCCAAAATATAATACATAATCAGTGCTCTGAACTGTGTGTAATTGCCGAGCTTTCGGTAACTGGGTACCTGAACTGAATCTGCTTGCCCTGACGAAGGTACCCAGTTACCCAAAGCTCGGCAATTACACAGCTCAGAGCACTGATTAAATAATATTTCTGTCTGTATTCTGATCACGGTGCTACGCAGCCCTTTCATATTTCTCTGCGCCATTAATTAAAACTAGTTGATCATTGGCGTTGCAAGGATATGTTCTAGGGGACAGAACTTTTTCGGGGGGGCACAGCACTTATTAGCGGAAAAGTATAAGCCTTTAACGGTGGAAGGGATCTATTGAGAGGTTGTATCCCCTTTCCTCCATTTGTTTCGTTTCACCATGGTTTCACTCGCCTTTTCTTTTCTTTATGGTTATTATTTTATGTCTGTGGAGTGTACCATTAAAATCAAATAGCGCCACCACTTGGTCTGACACTCCCATGAAACAGCCGTCTGTACGTCATTAGACCGGTGCATGATGGTACCTGTCCTCCACCTGTCCAGGGAAGCAGCTCATACACGCGTGAACATGAACCTTAATTACTGCTTAGAAGGTACCATACTAATACATACTAAATTCGGGAACCGGGAGAGCAAGTTCACGGCGAGTGTGGAGAATTTCTTTCCACTTGGAAGTAAAAACCTGTGGGTTTTTTTGGCTGATGCGATTTCTGTGCTGAAACCTAGGTAGGTAACCTTCGAGAAATATTTCTGCAGATTGTGGCTTTGTTAAGGGTGTCTGCTGCATGCTGTAAGCATTAGATTTCTTGGCATTCATTCGGAGCAAGTCGAAACTGAAAGTGAAACATTCGTGCCGCGTGCATGGCGTGGAGGCCTTAGGCCTAATTGATAATTCCTATGCATCGGAAAGAAATTTCACGCTTTTAATTTAACACTGTCGGTAGTCTAGTCCCAAGCTCAGTCGGTATTGCGCTAGCGAAGTGGACGGTGAACTCCGCAGTAAAAGTAGGTAAAAAGTGCAACAAAGTTACCGATTTCAGTGTACATGGGAAGATCTTTCATTCTTTATAGTTTTATACTGACCCCACTAATTTTTCCCTGCATTGACTAGCCTACTTATTTTATTCATTATCACTTAGAATTTAGAAAAATGGGATTTTCAGACCAGTCGGATAGGATTTGTGCACAGGGTGTCAAGCGATATCCGTATATGGTGAATTCTTTCCATGTATTTACATGTAGCTGCCTTGAGCAAAGAATCAGCACACTACATACATACAGTACATCGTTTGAGATGAAAAGTTGTTGTAGGCCTAAATGAGGAACACGAAAAACTGTATAGGCCTAGGCCTAGCCTGGGTCCCTATAAGTAGCTAACCTTGTTTGGCAGTCCGTAAGCTTTATTGCAAATACTGCGTGGGTAGTTTGACACAATGGTAGAAAGACATTGTGGGAAGGAAAAGGGAGCAAACATTGAACTTTTTGCCTTCCCACAAAGCCTTTCTACCATTACACAGAATAAGCCGTGCAGTATTTGCGATAAGGTTTATTACTGTATCAGGCCCACCGTATACATCATGGCACTTTGCTGTTGTTGACCCGTTTTGGTCATCCTTGTACGAACATATATTTGGTCCAATTGTCTACTTTTTGTAACTTGTAGGCCTACTGGTTATTTTGGTAAGCATGGTAAGGCATTTTTTTTTGGTAAGGCATTTTTTACTTTCATTTTTCGTGCATTTTTTATTTCCATTTTTCATGCATTTTCTTTACGTGAATGCATTTGTACTGTTTCATCTGTAAATTTTCCAATAAATATAAATCAACACATACATGTACCTTGGAGTCGTCCAAAATATCCCATTACCCCGCAAATCCCAAAATTACCCCCAAAGACAAAGTCAGAGTTGAGTTTGTATCCAGTGAATTGCTATGATAGTGCTGGGTGATTTTGTGGCATGATCTGTTGATCCTTCTGCCATCAACCAATTTTCCTTTTCTGTCTAAATCACGGTTGAAGAAGATTGTGTTGAAGAAGGGAAGTAAAGTCCTGACTCCTGAGATTTTCTACCGGATTGAACAATAAAGAGCATTGCACATAGTACATGTAGATAGTAAAAATCAACCCGTTGCACATTCTTTACGGTGGCATACCCACTTGTGGCAGTGTTGTAACAAGTCACTAAATTTGGTGACTGGAGTCGAGTCGTTAGGTCAAGAAGTCGAGTCACTTTGTGTAGTCGAGTTGAGTCGAGGACTGAGCTTGGGTCAATTTGAGTCGCAATTGTTGGACAAAAAAACACTAAATACGATCAGTATAAAAGCAGTGCCGTCAGTCCGATTTCAAATATTTTTCTCCAAAAAATGTTGCTTTTAGTCTTTTTGAGACTTGAGTCTGATAAGCTTGTACTTGAGTGTCTATGAGAGTCGAGTCCTTTGGTTGCAGAGACTCAAGCCAAATCATTTACCTGTCGGGAGTTGAGTTGCCAAGTTGTTCTAGGAATAGCTACATGTACATGTACATGAACAATGTTCTTGGCCACACATCTGTATTTGACGGATTGTGTAAATTAGCATAAAGTAACAAAGAAAATTCATTTGATTTTTGTGCATGTAGACAATTTCAGTTTCTGAACATGCAGTAAAAGCACTAACTTCGGTTTATTTTGTTTGGATGAGAAGATTGCAGTGCTGTGATGTCCCATACATGTACTTAACGGCAGTGAGTGGTTATATTTTCGTATCAAATTCACCGCCTCCCAGAAGTGAGTTATGTTGTTCATGAATACTTACTGAGGAAAGCAACAGTAAAAGACTACATGTATATGAGACCCGCTCTGTGAAAATGAGTCATAAGTTGCCAGAGCCATTTTTTGAGTTTTCATTTGTATTGGAAAGATCAAATTGAGTTTTTGTTTTGATGTACATGTATCACTCACTTTGGCATCCTGATGAAAGTTGACACTCCGGGGTGAAAAATGCTGTGGGTTCCTATTGATTTACACGGTGCGAAATTATTCGAAAGGACTTTTTTACTCCAAAGTGACTTTGGCGACTTAAGACTCAATTTCACAGAGTGGTTCACAATTATGTACGTGTATCCGGTATGTAAATCTTATGGTCTCTTCGGACAAGTACGTGTATGCATGTACATGTACATGCATTTACAAGGCCACATTGATACCGTAAATGAACTGCTGAGCCTCCTGGATTTTGGAGATTGCATGAAGTGTTCATGTACTTCTATACGTCACCAGTAATTAATATTAAGATATTATAATTAATAAATTATAATATACAAGTACTCAGAGTCCCATGGGTCCAGTTTGAGTCTCGTGCCACGAGTCCCGTGGGTCGAGTTTGAGTGGCTCGCCACTTGGGTTTAGTCTGAGTCCCATTCAGGAGTCACCTGGTTGAAGTCCAAGGCACAAGTCACTTTGTTTGACGGTGGGGTACTCAGAATGTGTTATAATATACTGGGCTAGGAAAAAAGTAGGTCCGTGTCTGGTTTCCCGACCTACATGTACCTTTACCCTATTTTGACAGCATGATCCTGAATCACAGGGGAGGGGGCTGGAATTTTGGGGGGGAAATGTAAAATTGACCCCTTTGCTGTTCATGCTGGACTGTAATACCGCATCAGTTGCCGGTGAACAAAGAGTTGTTCATTTCATCTGAAACAAATGTCACCCTGACCTTTCTCACGGTGGTTATTTTTAACCAATTAATTAACACGCAAGGCACACTGAATCAGCATTTGAAAAAAAAAAAGAAAATTTCCAACCAACCTGCTCTTTTTCAGATGACATGTAATTGAAAGCAGTTGTATTTTGTCTGCATAACTGACATTTAAAATTGCCACGAAGTCTGTACTTTCTTTGACAGTTTGCAAGGGCGTTTTCACCATGCACATGAAATATGCGCGCATGTACAGATAGGTCCAGGAATTGCAGGAGGGCAGCAATGTACATGTTTGCTCAAGTGACTAGTCCTCCGTGTTGAGTTTGAGTTACAGTACGACAGTTGAGTCTGAGGATTTTGGTTAAATTAGGATTTGAGTTAGACGCAAGTCCAAACCACCACACGTGTGAGTTTAAATGGTCTTGAGCCCCAAGTCCTAAAATTTTCAGTTATACATAAATACAACATTGGATAACCGCCATTGACAACAGTGTACATGTACATGTATCTCTGTTGGTCATGCATTATCTATTCTTTTTATTTTGAACTTTGCTTCTGAACAGACTTGCATTGTTTGAAATCAATTTGTTGTCAAGGGGAAAGAACACACATTTGGGACATTTGAACCATGGTCAGGTCCAGTGATTTATCACGCCTCCAGAAATTTGACCTTTGGACAGCCCCTACTGGAGATATGAAGGCCGTTGTTCCTCACCTAAAAAATTGTGAACAGGTGCTTAAAGCATGCCAGGTGCAGCAACTATTAACCATTGGATGAAACTGATATAAATGCAGAGCTTTGCAAAATTTATCGGATTGCCATCAAAGTCAGCCTGAAAATACTAGTATTTTAGTATCTGAAGGTTGTACCTGCAACTTTAAACCCTCAGCCTGCCTAATGGGAGGGCGGGTCTGTAGTAATTACCATGATTACCAACTCAGCCCAGGGATTAGGTCTGTTGTTCAAACAGCCCTGTTGAGTGTAGAGTAACCAAGAAATTGTTCTGTCTGCACAAGTATGGTAGACGCAGAGATGGCCGAGGCAGTGAACTAGTAATTTGAGCCCCAGTGTAAAATCGAGAAAGTTCAGGGCTCAATAACAAGCAAGCCCACATTACTGGAGTTTCTCGTACCGAAATTAAATGATTGTCTTGACCCCAGTCTTTCCGTTTTTTTTTTTTTCAATTTTTGGTGGGTTATTAGCCAATTACTTTTGTAATTATTCACGCAAAACAAATGCACCCCAAGCCTGCTCCCCGCCGTTTTGTAAATGGCTTCCCTCTTTTTCGGGCACGGAGGACCATTTTCCATCCGTGATCGTGTCAACTGTGTCCTCGGATGGAAGCTCCACAACCCAGGGAATTGATGCTGGCCCATATTTCCACAGTCGGTCCTTTTTTCCCGCCAAAACAATGAATCGGTGGAGGCACTTTTTATGCTAATGAGCTCAGCAGCAATTTTCAATTGAATCGGTTCACTGCAACCTGATGTCAGCATATGGGAACATGGACATTTATTAATGGCAAGTTGAGATAAGACAGGACAAGATTAAGAAGGGCCTTGCGGGGAAATTGTTCCGGGATTTTTTGTTTAGTTATTTGGAAATCAAAATTGTGTGAACTCATGCTCATTTACATTGACTGTTTTTCCCTCTTAGAATTTGTAAGGGCAATTCATTTTCATTCCTTTTTATATTTGTAAACTTTTTGATGTGGTCTGATTGTAAAATTTCCCCAAAGTTGGCTCTGGACAAGCTTGTCTCCACATAAGCAAAAGAGCTGGTTTACTAAATACTAATGAGCTGGTTCTTGTATTAACAAAAAAGAGCACACTTGCATGTACATTGTACATGGAAGTTGTAAATTGAAAGAAGAACGAAATTGTGGAAGTTTAGCTTCACCTTGTTACATGTAGTCTTCGATTTTTGACGTGCCGATGTTGAGTCACATTTGAAGACCATAAATGTCTCAGTGCCTAGACACCCCATCATGGCAACGGGGTGAGCACTTGGCCACGATTCAACAATCCCCACGAGACGCACAGCCATCAAGCCCGATTTGTGTTGATAATAATGCATTAGTCTGCCAGCACACACCACATTGGGCAGCCCAGGGTCTGCGGCACAGCCAATGCATGCCTCGACGTAACGAGGGCATTACAGCAGCGCAACATCATGTGGCCGTGATTGCCTGTGGGCTAAGTGCTGCTCAGCCGCTGATGCAAGTGAGTGATAAATGCGCGCATCATCGGCCCACTTCCACATAATGGAGTCGCAAATCTGAACTGATAACAGACTGACGTCAAATTAACCCTGACAGTCCCAAATCCTCTAATTTCAATACGATTTTACATATACACGCTTGGGGGTTAGGGTTTTTTAATGCATGTATCTGTGCGTCCGTATATGTATGGACAGGTGGATCTTTGTACATTATGTTCCTGCAGAGGGTGAATTTTCTGACTGTTTAAACTGTTTCTACATGTATGCGATGAAAAAAAAAATCACATGGCCAATCACACAGTGAGTTCTGCATACAACAGATCCTGCAGTCCCAAGATTGAGATATGTATCATGAATCTGATGCCAATAGCAATCAAGCACCTGTGCCCTTCTAACCTCATCCCTCTGCATTACCAAATGGACGATTTGGGAGTCATTTTGGTGCAGTTTTCAGAAAATTCCGAGTGCAGTTGCAGCAAATGAGATGAGTTGTGACAACTTGCACATGCATTTAGGTAATTCCAGAAGTTACAGGTCCATTCTTTTTTGGTGTCCCTGTCACCTCTGACATGATTTTGTAAGTTCAGAACACTTTTTTGTAAAACTTCCAAGAAGGATTAATTAATGCAAATTACCTGCCAAACAAGTAGTAATAGTCTGAAATCAATTCCGGTGATATTTCCATGTCAAATAACAAAGGTCAGATGTAACAAGGACACAAAAAGTCACACCTTTGGACCCCTAATTTCTGGAATTACCCCTGTACAGTATGTCCACAAGTACTGGTGTGTAGAGCGTTGAGCATCCAGTGGCATGGTGTCACCGGTTTTGAGATCTCTGATCATTCGCTGCCATCACGGTTCTTTTGTTACCTGCAGTCGTACGGATCATGCTTCATACCAGTTTGAAGCAAACGTAAAATGCTACTCATGCAAAAGTAGCGGAGCTTTGGCCCTTCCCAGTTCCCAGATGCCCCATGTTGTTTTTTTCGTCCGTTACTGAAAAAAAAAATCCCAAGAGGATCCTTTGGTCCCAGTATCGACAAAAATATCATCATACAATCAGTGCTCTGATTTATCTTATTGCCGAGCTTTCGGTAACTGGGTACCTTCGTCAGGGCAAGCAGATTCAGTTCACAGCCCTTTCATGTTTGTTGGATTTTGTGGTCCCTCCTGAATCCACGCACGGGGTGTTGTCTTGCTTTTACAGTATGTGAATTGTTTGTGCAAGTTTTTGGGATGTGTTTGCATCCTTGATTTTTATCCACACCGGGCAAAAAATGACTGTTCTAGGAAATGCATTTAAGTTTTGTTGTTTTCTTTGGGGTAACTAGTTGAGGTTTAAATGCGACACAAAATTCTTTCCATCTATGTGTGGTTTATTTGAAAGCAAGAATTCCTAAGGTTTCATTTGATAAAGCTTTGTGTCCAATTTTTGATTTCAGTATGGTCAACCAGGAGCCAGGGCCTGCTCTTTTGGAGGGCGGGACAGTCCCCCTCCCCTGCGATGGGCCAGGCTGGGCAGGGCTCCGGGCAGCTCTGGCCGGGCTGGGGGCGGTCGCCTCCCCCGAGGGCCTCCTCCCCTCCCTGGGGCGGGTCTATCGGGCTGCCCACCCGGCCCAGCTGAGTTGGCACACGGGCCGCCCCCTGGCCCCGACGCCACACCCCTTCCTGGGGCTGGGCCACTTCCTAGAGCACGTGGCCTCGGAGGCGGAGCAGGAGAGGTTCTTCCAGAGGGTGTTGCCGACAATCGCACGACTGGCCGGGCATATAGAAGCATGGCGCCCCCAAGAGGCGATCCAGTACATGGTGCAACAGCAAGGTATATAAAAGTTTCAAATATTCAGCCTTCATTTCTACTATCCCCTTGAAGCAAAACAAAGAATAAATTCTTAAACGCTCAGCAAAATGCGACTGTCTGAGAAAACTGAGAGCCTCGTTTCTGGTCATGTTAGAATTGTTTTTGCTTTGATTAGAAATATACTAGGAACACACAGTTAAGGAAGCCGCTGCCTTTTATGGCTGCAGACATTTTCCATAAAGCCAAGAGCCCTTACAGTCAGACGTGGCCTTCGAGTATTTGGCAGGCTGGGTAAATTCCACTGGAGAAGATTAATGACGTAGATGAATTGATTGGCAGAAAAATTCCTGGTTGGTATCCAAGCTTTTAATCGTACAGGGGCACGTGTACTTGATACGTGTACATAGTGGGTCCAGTGCCCAAGTGCTGCTTGACAGTGCAGAAAAGTTATGCTTACTGTAGCGTAAAAATTCTGCTAACTGTAAGGACTATTTCATGGCTAACTATTTCAACTGGTAAAAATTGCACACAGAGATAAGCTTGCCTTTTGCTGGGCTGACTGCTGACGGTTTCCATAAAATACACAGAGCCACTGTTAGCATGTATGTATAATGTGCCACGGGCCAATTTCATAGAGCTGCTTAAGCGCAAAATTTGCTTAAGCACGAAAAAAACCTTACTTGATAAATCAGGTAACCAGCCAAAACTCCATACATGTAATGTACACTGTTTTGGCATTGTATTTAACTTTTTCTTGGTTAGCAGGACAATCAGATAGAGGTTGATCTGGTAATCTTTGTTTATTAAGCAAAGTTTTTTCGCGCTGAAGCAAATTTGGTGCTGAAGGAAATCTGTGAAATTGTTCTTAGCAGCGCCGTGAAAGCGGGCCCTGCAATTTCACGTCTAGCATTGTCTTCAATGCCCAAACTCACCACGCACATTTCAGACGCAGAAGTTACTTCACGTAAAGTTATTTTCTGAGCTATCACGAGATACATATGCGGAAGTTCATTGGTAATTTAAGGCATCAACCGGTTGTCAAGTTGCTTCGGCTTGGAAAGGCAGCTAAATACGAGGACCATGAGGTCTGCCATTCCTTCGCTGTTTCTGCTGTTTACAGCTGTGTTTATTTTTGTTTGTTCAGTCATTTCATCCGTTGGCCTGAGAAGTGACGGATACTTGGACAGGATTGCTTTAATAAACCACAAGGAAACGTAGATACTTCTTCACACATGATACGGTATCCTTGTGTACGTACATCAGTTTGTGAAACAAGTATACATGAACGAGACACCTCGCTCCCTGGCCTGGCCAGTGATTTTTTTTTTCACTTCACTGTTGCCACACGTGTCTCACTTGTTTTTTTGTGTCTGTGCGTTCACAGTAGTCAATTGGGATTTCTTAAGCATTCAAGGTTTATCACATGTACATGTACGTGGTGAAATGCTGCGGTGCAATGTGTCATGTGGCTGACAAGTGTGTACATATCGGTTTCGTTAACATCCAACATCGGGTAGAAAGCTGGGCTGTGATATCAACTGCTTCAAGTGCTGAGACTTGGTTCAGACTTGAAGTGAAAGCAAAGCCACTTTGACGTGACGAAACATTTGCAGGGATATCTGCTTGCGTTGAAATGTACTCAACTGTTGAAAATTCACAGCATGAATATTTACAACGTACAATGTATTCTGACATCACAAGCTTACGTTTGTACACAGTGGTTCAAACCCTACCTGACCCAGACATCAGTGAATACAAACAAATTATTTTCACTCACATCAATTAAAAGAATTTAGCAAGGCTTTAGAACTTATTTAGAGTCCTCGTGAGTTTTCAGTTTGGCTACAGAAAGACATTTTTTGCAATGGATGCATTGGCAAAAGCATGTTATTCTTGATTGCTGTGAATGACGGCGCCCTTTATTGAAATTTCTGGAAAAAGCTACTGCAGTTTTGGAAAATTCTGTGATAGCGTTAAAGAGATGATCACCTCAGTTTGGAACCGAGATCATTATGCATGTGTACATGTATTTTATTGCAACATAACAGGAAAGGAAGGGGGAAATGACGCAAGACATCATGTGACTTCATTCCACTTTCACTTAGTGTTGTTTGAATTGTTTGAAGTTTTCAAAGTAAAATGACAATGATTTTTTTCTTGATTTGAGAGATATCATTTCATTAAAGCAGGTTCCTCTCTAAGCATTTTTGTGATTAGAAGTATGAAGTTATCTAAAAATTAAATAAGTTGCCTTTTCCCAATGACCTCGCTCTTTCCCACTCAATCATGCTCTCAATTCTTCCTAAAGAATCCACATACGTTGGGTGACTGTTCCCTCAGTGCACTCTGAACCTGCGAGGTCAGGGTATGGGATTTTATACACGCGTTTTGCCGGCGATCTCAATGAAATTGGCCTCTTTTGTTCAACCCACTTTCCTTTCAAGTATTTTATTCAATTACAAGAATCTTCCAGTTCAAGTTGAAAAAGAAAATGAGCCCGTACCGGCGCATGCGCGACGCAGCCCAGAGATCCAAAAATTTAAAGGGAATCGGCACCTGTGTGCAGTGTTCACATGTACAGGAAATGAAATCTACCGATGCATCGCACTACAGACGGTGGCTGAAAGTGGGCGGCGTGACAAAGCTTGTGGTGATTTTGCCCCGGAGAAATGTGCACTTGCTCACGTACGTTGTACATGTACCTGGGCACATGTTCCCGTTCAGCGTATGTCCCGTCTACCGTGCTCTATTGGGCATGTATGAACTGTATACAAAAGATCAGTGCAATCCAACAGCTTGTTCAACCATGTGGAAAAGCTGAAATACAGTAAACACCAGGCACTTTGATACGTAACCTACCAGAGCAGTTCACAAAATTCTATATATTCTTTTTTTTTGTTGGCATCTATGCATGTATGGATTCAACATTTAACGCCATATATGCAAGCACTACACGTGCATACATGTACATGCTTTGGTAACGAGGGACTGCAGCCTTTTCTGCCTCACGGTCTTGGCTTTTTTGGGTGCCATAAAAAAGATGTCTGTACGTCATCTCTTTGCTTGGCACAAAATGTCTGAAATTCACAAAGTGGTCGGTAGAATTATAGACCCGACAATGAAGAGCACTTCATGTGATGTTCAAATTTCATGTTTGACCAAAAATCAAAGCGATTCCAAACATGTTGGGGGGTTTGGAATGTTTGTGTTTTGTAAAAGCTGTCAGACTTGCAGAATTGAATGGGAATAGGAATTTCTTCACAAAGCCAGCTTTTTTTTTTGCTTTTTTTTTTTTAACAGTGGCTTATTACATTGTGAATTTATGAGCCGTCAAAGTTGGGATCGTTCCGTCGTGTAATAAATGAAAAAGGTCTCCCAGGTTTATTTGTGCATGCATGTACATGTCTTTCTCCAGCAGTTCGGTTATCAAGTTCTGAAGATGTCGAAGATTGTTTATTAACCCTAACCCTCCTCAATCCTCCAAAATCCTTCAGGCGGTTTTGGAGGATTTTGGAGGATTGAGGGTGAATGGCAAAAGTGAATGGCTGATAATGAAGGATGCCATGAGTGAAGGTCATGGATTAGACCTTGTATTGTTTTTGCTTAGTCAAGCACAAATTCAGCCCGATATTTCCTTTGAATCAACCGCACAGCTCAAGAATGCCATTCACACTGCCTCAACATAATGACAGGAATTGCTGGAGGATTTTGAAGGATTGAGGCAGCAGGCAGACCTCAAAAAACATTTTCAAGAAATTTTGGAGGATTTTGGAGGATTGAGGCTGAATGCAATTTTTTCATGTTAAAAATCGGAGGATTTTGGAGGATTGAGAATGGTTCCTGGTAAAAAGGCCTAGGGGGTTAGGGTTAATATAAACCCTCCGCGTAAAATAGAAACAGAAAAACGGCAGAAACACCTCACAAATTTGCAAGTTTCTGGCAGACGCTTTTTGACATGGTTCTTATTTGTAAGGACTTGAAAGCAAGGTGTGGAACAAGCGACTTGAAGCCGGGAAAAAAATGCCTGCAAACATAACATGCCATGCCAGCTGCAGACAGAAAACAGAAAATAACCTGATTGCCAAGGAAACTGAATCTTGAGGCTGCCTCAAATTGATTTCAAATTGGCGGCCCACATGATCATGTCGGCAAGATGAGATTTGACGGCTCCAATCAATCAATCAATCAATCAATCAATCAATCAATCAATCAATCAATCAATCAATCAATCAACCGTGAGCATCTCCTCCTCCCCCCCAAAAAAAAAAACCTGCACAAAGTAAATATTGGGCCCTGGTTTTTAGTTACAGCGGTTATGGCAGCCAGTGAACCCTGTGATCAGTGCCGGCATTTTCAGACTGTCAACTGATCCCCTGAGTCTCGTTTATTTTTTACATAACATACATTCTTTGTGAAGACGATTTAAATCGTGAGTAATAATTTTGACATCCTATACTGCGTTATCATCGCATTGGAGATCGAAATTTAAAAACCTTTTTAGTATTTTGCGCACAATCGGAACGATTTAAAGGGTTCGTACAAAAGTATAATGCCACTTTTTATTTTTTGACTACAACCCTTGAAAGTATACCTTTGCGCTTCAATATGCGTACGGTCCGGTATTGGCCGTCATCATTCTGTATGTTTGTTGGGTTTTTTCATTCGTAGAAAAGTGAAATTAAAACAATGACAAGAAAAATCATACATACATTACTTAATGACAGAATCCACTGCATTTGCATCTTCCCAACGCGGCTCCTTCATCAAATCTACTGGATAGGCTTCTTATTTTCCCTCAGTTGTACCAGGGAAATGAAGATCTTCATGATGTTATCAGCGATCCCAAACTGACGGACATGTACGTGTACGTGTGTCTTTTGCAAGCCACAGTAAATAATTTGGGCTGCATCATGTCTGTATTTGAATGAGACGCTCTTTTTGCGGGCTTTCTCTTCGGAATGGAGGATGTTTATCAGACCTTGGGGTAAGCTTTGACCTGTTTTTCCTCAAAACCAAATTGAATTGCCCCATGCTCTAGCCTTGCAGGCAGAATTTGATTTGCAAGTAAAGTGTGCACATCAGACACTTACCACTATTTTCTTTACAGTGCTAGATGATACGTACGTTTACATATAGGCAAAACAGTGTTATAATACAAATCTCCACAAGTGCACATCCATGGCATGACGTAGTGAATAGTACCAGTTCAGTTTCTGTGCTATACAGTAGTAAGCCCGACTTGCAGTCTAACTGTACAAGTGGCGCTTTGAAATGGGGTCCAGGCAGTACGTTGGAGTCCCATCTGAGCCAGCTTGTGAAATGCAGTGGTTGCCAGAGCAACCATTCCAGTCGACAACGTTCATCTTCCCAAGTGACAAATATCCGATTAGCAATTAATGCTTACCCGCACTCTGTCAAACATATTAGATGCCTAAAAATCACAAAGCTAGAAGCCAAGGCCAGGGACATCACCGGAGCTTTTATGAACGAGTTGTTCAGCTCTGTGTGACTGCAAGAATCCATTTTGAGTAGGGGTAGTGATTAATGCAGCGCCTTGAACAGCAATAGCGATGATCAAGCGTACTTAAGAAAATAAACTTTTATGTATCGTACATTTTTAACACCGGACAGCATCAACATCAGTTGTGTGCGCGTTGACTTGCTATTCTTGGTTGGATTCCAGTGGCACTTGGTGCGTGCTCGTACCGGCACATGTGCCTTGAAGTACCAGTCTGCCTGGCCGTAAATTAATGTTGACCGTATCGAGTCCCCTGGTTTGCTGCGGTATGTAGGCCCATCAATTTTTTTCAGTGCCTAAATTTAAGACGAGGCCGGGTTGGAACGCGGATAGGGAAATTGATTAAATTTCGGGGTGCCCAACATATACAACGAGACATTTGATGGATTCCGCTTAGCAAATATTTCTGGAACGGTTTCTCGCGAAGGACAGCATTGCTTGTCGTTTCCTAGGGCGGCGTGGCAACGTTAACGATCCAGGGATGCATATACGCGTTGGGGGAAGGGGGTTGGAGTTTTCCTGTGTGCCTGAATGCGTTGCTGAACATGAGTGTGTTTTAATATCCAGCCTGCAGCTTGCTCATTGAGGAAACAGTTTCAGACTGATCTGGAGACCAGCATTGGAAGTCATTGCTGCTGTGATGCAGCCCTCACATACAATAATACTTACATTAGACACTCTCTTGGTTTTCCTTAGCAACAGAGGCTTTCTGGTCAAGCAGTTGGCCTCAAAATATTGTCACCTTCGGCGCATGGAATGGGTCAGTAAGCGTTTTTGAATTGCACGACTTAATACACCTTTTTGCAGAGCGGGTGACATACAGTATATCCAAAACACCCCTAGACTCCTCTCCAGCCAAAGTTGCTTTGAGCTCCAATCAGTTCTTGAGTTGTATCACAGTGCCGTCCATTACTTAAAGTCAGCCCGACAGCAGTGGGTTCTGCCTTCCTCAGTCTCGCTGTTTTTGATTTCTGTATCACAGAAGCAAACTTACATGTATATTACAATGTACATGTATGTATATGTAGGTGTCGACATTGGAAGCCAAACTCAATTCTTAAAACAAGAAATTAACCCTAGAGCAATTCCTCAGACAGTAGTGCACGGCACGTGTTCGACAAAGTAACACGTCACCATTGACGGTTTAAACTCAGGTGATAATCCTGTATGTGAGATCCAGCCAGGAAGAATCTTGGCTTTTGTTCTGTGTTCTTTGCCCTAACACAAAAGCAGAAATGGACTTTCATGCCCTTGAAACACAACTAAAGTTAGGGAACTCATGCTTATTCACAGAGGAAGTTGTGGCAGCAATCGTTTGTCCAGAAGTCCTTGACCAAAAGGAATAATAATCCTGGTGCTCAGATACCCAGTTTGTTTTTTCCCTGCAATACATTGCAAAATGATAGCGCCACTGTTTTAACCCGTCCATGGCACAGCACTCTGTGCCTTGAATGTTTGAATTTTGTAAGCAACTTGTACCAGACTTGTAAGCCGTTGCCGCGAACACCGGCCGACAGTAAGCTAATAAGAGTGACATTTTTTGTTTGCTTTGCCAATGACAGAATCGTCGGTGTGCCTGGACAGGCGCTTCGTGGCCAGCGTGGTCGCCAACGCTTTCCTCTGCACCTTCCCCAAACAGCCGAACCCCCAGCTCAACAGCATCAACTTTGACGAGTTCTTCCAGTTCCTCATTTGGTGGGTGGCCTACAAACCTTGCACCCGATTCCTCAAGTCTCCAAGTCCAAGTCGGAGTCCTTGGTGGCCCTGGAGGAAAGCTGTTCCCTCCTCCCCCCCGGTGCACGTGTGTTTAATTTGTGCCAACTTCTGAAGTGCGCTGAACATGTTGAATGAGGATTCCAGAAATTGTTAAAATACAGAAAATGCTGCAACCTGCGCACTGATCTGCAGTTACCAGAGCTGTACGAATTAAAAATTGTGAGAGGGCCTGACCTTTAGATCCGGGCAGAATTTTTTCTCAAAGCCAGAATGAGGATTTCTTTAAACAGAGTTGGTGCCTCGTCTTTCATTTTTAATTACATCAAACCCTGAAATTCACTCAAGACTCCAGACCAAAAAGTAAGTGAGGATGAGAAAAACAGGAGATTTTTTTTCCCCATATTGAAGTGAGGCGATGCGTCCGCGTCGGTCCGGGCTTCGTGAGCCCTGAGCCCACGTTGGGTGAGGTGCTATCCTCTGGTAAGGAAGACCTGGTCTCGGAAACAGACACTAGCTTTGTTTTGATGATACGATCTCTTTGATTCGTCGCCAAAATCCCTGCCGGAAAAAATTCCACTCCCACCAAAGAGAAATCCTAAACAGAAATAGTTTTACAAACACAGTTGATCACAATCAATATAATTGTCACAAAATAAAGCGTAATTAAGGAAATATAATTTCAATGGGTGACGATGTAGGTTCATGGAACTCACCCAGCACCTTGTCCCCACAACACCAGCTGAAGATTCCATGCGCTGCCTGTAATGTAACGTTACAATTACCCAATATGAATACATGTAATGTGGTGAAAATGTCAATTGAATACAGAGACCAGCGCATAAGTTCATTCAAATGTAAGAACATTTGCAGAGGTGCGCACAATAATGAAAGGTTTTGTGCTACTTCATGACAGGCCATACGAAGTCAGTAAATTCTGATACATACGCGATGCATGCCGCTAATGCAAAGATGCTAATTAATATTCATGATCTCTACAATATCATAGGACTGGATTTTTTTAATAGAAAAAAATATATACGATTGTGCCCATCAGAAAAATTGGAGGCCAGTGCTGTTTTTAACAAATTTTCAGAACTATCCACAGGAAATGAGAGAAAATTGCCAGTTTTTTTGAGGCAGAATTTTTTTTTTACCTAAGATCCCTCATAACTGTAGTCAGATGTCCGGCACAGATACACTCAACAACTTTTCTGGTTAATGGTGCAGCAATTTTTATGGAGGTTAAAGTCGGCAGTGCATTATGAATGGATGGAGCTGGGATTATGGATATGAAGATTTGGAATTCAAACAATTTCCATATTTCTGTCGTACACATATCCCAGCCATCACAATGTAATCTCACTCCACCAGGAAATGTTGACAGAAATGCACATTTCAGCAAATCGTGACTTGCAACAATAAGCCACTGAAACCATCAACATCCTTCCTCCCAAAAATCATTTCCACAATTAAACAGCCCACGGTGACAAAGACGAGGGGTCATTATCTCTGAACGTCAAACTTTAATTGGACCGGCTGACGTCAGTAAAAACCAATTTGTGGGCTTTCCCTCAGCCGTCGCTGACGTACATCAGATTAATTTTGAATTCCCCTGCTCTCATCTGAGCTGTCCGCTGCACAAACGGACAGCAAAAAGACAGGCATGCAAAGAATGGAAGGATCATGCTCAAGCACAGCAGGCCAACGCTTACGGCTCTTGACGTTTGGTTCAAGGGCTTCCTCATAATTTTATCGGCCGGCTATAAAATCAGACAGAGGCCTACAGTGGGGGTCATTCTCAGCCGATTGGCGGTGCAGCATTCCCGTCCAACGATTGTACATGAAAAGAGTGCTTTTCTACCATTCCTATCAATGCAGCGATCGTATCTGAAATCTTTCCTTTTTGTCTTTGCCTTGGCTCCTAGATCCAATCAGATTCCTCCCTTTGAAAAAAAAAAAAGTTCTGTTTTTCAAATGTACTGCAACTCTTAACAGTTTTCCATCTACCATAAGGCAGTTTGCCATATGTAAGCAAAAAATTAACCGCGGGTTGCCAGTGAAAGGAAAGAAAAATTCTTGTTTTGAAGTGAGCACTGAATTGAAACTCAAAATTCACACGCATTTCCGTCCTGAACTGCAGTTCTTCCACCAAGAACTCCCAAGCAGCCAAGCTTCGCTGCATCCTCAATTACTTTGACCGACTGGCTGACGTGGACATGGAGAGGGACTTGACAGGACAGATATCCTACATCAGACAGGTGAGGGTCAGGTTGTCCGACTGGGCTGAATTCCCTGGGGTGTTTAAGCGTAAGTCATTGCTTGAAGTACACTACTCAAAAATAGGGCTGAGTCAATTCGAATAATTCACTATTTGAATATTCGACATTTAATTTGATGGAATATCCAAATATTCGGTCGTACTGACCGGCAGACTGTTGATGAACAAACCATATACAAAACCAGTTGCAATATTAACACACACAATTTTACATTATAATCACTAATAGTTTCTCATGTCTAGGAGTATCTCCAGCCATAATTTAGCAAAAATTAAGAGATAAACAATACTTTTTCCCCGTTGAAAATGTCTATTCCTTTTTGAATTTGTTAATGGGTAATTTACATTTTGAATTGTTTTAAGATTTCTGTTGCTTTTCATTTGAATCTGCTTGAATCAAGCCTCCATAGTGCAACTTTTCTCATTTAAACCAAAAGAAAATTCTCCCTTTTCATGAATTTGCATTCGAATATTCCAGTTCGGAAAATAATATTGGAATATTTGATAGTCCATCAATTATTCGGATATTCGGCACAGCCCTACTCAAAAAAAAAGTTAAGGACCACTTTTTTCTCAACTTGTAATTTCTGGATGGGCAGTGATGCAAGAGACATGCGACAACTGAAACCCACCCCATGTGAAATTGATTAGAGTGTGTTTGAGGTCATTCAGGACAGGTGTAGAATGTCTCATATGAAAAAAAAGTATACGCTAAGTAAAAAGTGGTCCTTAACTCTTTTTTGAGTAGTGTAAATGTAGGTGCTAAGCAAGAATGGATGGATTGGCAGTCAATGTAGTCATACACTGTAGCTTGTCTCTTGATGAAGGTTGTCTTTAAATCCCCGGCCAAAATGGTCAGAACACTCCACAATAAGCATACCTCCCTAGGTCCCCCCCCCCGGTCAATATTGGTACCTCTAGTGGGAGCACAGATGGTGCAATGAGAGGCAACTTTGACTGGGGGGAGGGGCGGCCTGGCCCGGCCCGGCAAGATTTGGCGTGGAGTGTAGCTGCAAAATGGAATAGCACATCTTGTGGTATATGGTTCAGTGTGTTCTCCTGGTTTGCAACATATCCCCCCCCCCAACTCTGTCTACTTTTTGGCGAAGAACCTTCCAAACTTTTTAAATCCTTCTCTTTTACAGGAAGTCTCTCGAGTGCAATCTTTGAGGGGGGGCGTCAGGGCTCATGTAAAGTGCCAGTGATTGGCTTGTATTCCTTCAAGCCTGCACAATCTTGAAAAAAAGAACCTGGTTGGCTTTGACGTCCCCATTGAGTAAACTGAAAACTTCCCGGCGCGATGTCTGTTCCAGTGGGCTTGTCACTTTCAGACTGTAGGACAGTGTTTCACACCCAGCTGGTCATTTTATTTTTTCATTCTGACTAAGGATTGGTTTCAAATTGACAGACGTGATAAATGGCTTCCAGCCACTGTTGTAGTCGAGTCCATAACAAGTACCTGCAAGTCTCCTCTAAGTCTATGATACGTCCAGCACAGGTCATTCAGTCTTGTGAAAGGACATGTGATGGACTTGATAACAACACCGCTTCTAGCTTCAGTTTGGTTCTTTCCTTTGAAAAAACACCTGTTCTGTATTTCTGCTATTGACAAACACCTGTTCTGTATTTCTGCTATTACAAAGCATCTGTTCTGTATTTCTGCTTAAAAAAAACCTGTTTTGTATTTCTGTTATTGAAAAACACCTGTTCTGTGTATCTGCTATTGAAAAACAGCTGTTCTGTTATTCATTTGCTATTAAGAGGCAACAAATGTTTTCCCTTTTTTGGATAAGCACTTTGCTGTGTATAGTCCAACAAAGTCTTTGGAGTCAGCCTTTGTTTTCTGGTCTGCTTGTCCACAGGTCCTCGGAGAGGGTGAGGCCATGTCCCTGGAGGGCTGGCTGGACAGCAAGGTCAAGCTCTGTCCCCTCACCATCAAGCACAAGGGGCTGATTGAGGACGCCGGCAGTCACGCGTTGCAGGTATGGACAAGTAGACACAAGTAGACCTGACGCCTAGATCAGACACTAAACCAGATACAAGACCAGACACAAAACCAGACACTAAACCAGACACAAGACTAGACACAAGACCAGACAAAGGTAAACCTGACACCTAGATCAGACACAAAAACAGACACTAAACTAGATACAAGACTAGACATAAGACCAGACACAAGACCAGACACAAGACAAGACACAAGACCAGACAAAGGTAAACCTGACACCTAGATCAGACACAAAAACAGACACTAAACTAGATACAAGACTAGACATAAGACCAGACACAAGACTAGACACAAGACTAGACACAAGACCAAACATAAGACCAGACACAAGACCAAACATAAGACCAGACACAAGACCAAACATAAGACCAGACACAAGACCAAACATAAGACCATACACAAGACCAGATACAAGACCAGTCACAAGACCAAACATAAGATCAGACATAAGACTAGACACAAGACCAGACACATGTAGACCTGACACCTAGATCAGACACTAAACCAGACACTAAGCCAGACACAAGACTAGACACAAGACCAGACACAAGACCAGACACAAGTAGACCTGACACTTATATCAGACACTAAACCAGATATACAAGTCACAAGCAACTGGGCAAGGAGCGACACAGGGAATGCATTTTGTTCACAGTTTTCATTTGAAGAGTTGGTGACTTGAATTCAGACCGGAGGTCTTGTGTGTCCGTCTTAAAAGGTCTCGACTACAACATTTATCACACTCGCACATATGGAAGTCATGCCCATCCTCAACTCTGAGAAGCAAAAGCAGGTGCATTTTGTTAGTTATCGCAGCTGCTGCAAGGAGCTCTCTACTCCTAAAAATAGGCAGGCAGTGGCAAATGTCATCATCACACTTCTTACGAGTAGCGTGCGCAAAGTCTGCAGAGGCAGCCCATGTGTTGAACGCAGCTGCGAACTGCTGCTCCGTGGGCGTGTCATGCAGTTTTGAGAAATATGAGATTGCGCTTACCGCAGGCATCATTAAAGAACTGTCATACAGATACTTGACTGTTGCAAGTCAGTAATCATAGCATTTGGTTGTATATTAAAAGTTGGCTGCCACCTCTTGCTCTTTTTAAAGTCGAAATGTTAATCCCGGAATTTACCGTCGGCTAGTGGTTAAGCACTTGACTCCAGCACAGTGCAAATGTTAACAGATTATTAATCGTAGTTTTCTGACTGAGACAGACACGGTGAAGTCCACCCCTCGTAATTGACAGAGAGATGCTTATTGCCCTGACAGGTGGATTTTGCCAACCGGTTCCTCGGCGGCGGCACACTACTAGCCAGCCGCCAGCAGGAGGAGATCCGCTTCTGCACCTGCCCCGAGCTGCTGGCTGCCCTGCTCTTCACCGAGAGCCTGCAGGACAACGAGGCGGTGGTCGTGGCAGGGTTCGAGCAGTTCTCAGAATACACGGGCTACAGCAGCACGCTCAAGTTCTCCGGTGATCACAAGGGCTGCGCCGAGGTGAGGCGACGAACAGAGTTTCGGGTTTATCGGCAATGTGAATGGTTACCTCCCTCAGTGGCATAGAAGCGAGAGAGTTGGTGCTCATCTCTGTGGATGCCCAATACTTGCACAGTCATTTGTAAAAGTTTAGGACCATTCATACAAAATGCATTAACCTGAAGAAAAACCAAACTTAAACCAATCAATCATGGCAACTTATGTTTATTTTCAATGTGTAACCTTTAAGTATCTTGGTTAAACAGCTATTTGACGACATTTCCATGATTTGAAATGTTAACAGTCTAATATTTAGTGTGCCGTCCTTTATTTATGATTACTTGGACTGGCTTTTTTTACCTATGCTGCCTTACAGACAAAATGTCACACAAGACCTGCCTTTGCAAATAATTTCATTCGAATGAGTATAAAGCACTTCACTGATGTTATGCACCACTGAAAAAACATGTTAGGTAATCATTCAGTGAGACAATGTAATGCAGGCCCAGTGACACAAATACCAATAAAATTCCAGGTGGTCTTAAACTTTGGCAAATGGCTTTATGTGCCGGTGATACAGACAAGCCTCTACAGGTGCATAATGCTTCCACAAAGTAACTTCTTTCCACGTACAAACACTCTATCATATTTTCACGGACCTCTTAAACCCCCCGTTCAACCCCAAAACTGCCAGAAACCACTCAACGTTACTTCTGCCAGAAGAGCACCTCAGCATTTTACAGATTAACCATTTTGTGCCGGGGTGCCTGGTTTCGGGCGCATAAGTTTTATACACAAAGCCGGGGAGCCCGAAACCGGACAAAAGAGCTGGGCCTTGTAACAAAAGACCGTACTCGGAACAAAAGACCGAGCTGCTGGGAATTGCCGACATTTTTTCAGTTGTCAATAGTGGAGGAAATCCGTCGTTGTTTTGAAAGATTATACCACTGTTTGTGGCATTCAGCGCGAGCGGATTACCACTGGGCACCAAAGCGCTCCTGCGCTCCAGTGATCAGCGATACAATACTGCTGCAAGCTAATCTGGCCCCTATTGAAAAGATGCCAGCTGCTCACTGTGCCAGTTTCGGGAACAAAAGAAAATTACATAACACTGCACAATCTGGGCTCTTTTTACAAGGCGGCAGGCCTGGCTGAAATACTCAGGTATCAACAGATGTTATCTGTCAGTTTAGAGTAGCCACCAGACAATCATTCATGTGGGCGCAAACATCCAGGCAATGAACTTGTGAATTTGTAGAGAATTTTGGAAACAGAAGAAAATAAAAAAAATTACCCAGCCCAGCAGAATCAACATGGATAAATGGGCCCGGTGCAAAGTGGTTAACAGACTCATCATTCAGAGTCGTGCAGTGTAATGCAAACGCTAATTGATTAAACCTCTGCACTAAAAGGCTTTTGCTGTTACAGTCTGGAAATTGGCATCCAGCATTCCGGTAATAGTCGAGAATCCACCGGACTGTAATTCGGTGTAGAAACAGTGAAAAGAAGACACCTACGTGTGCTTCAGGACCCGACTCCTTGTAATACTGCCTAGGTGGTTGGAAATAATATCCGCTGCAGTGTTGTCATTGGAAGTTGTCTGCATGTGGACTAGAAATAAAATTATACGTGTAGCTTTGACACAAACCATTTCGTGGGTAATTTTCATCCCTAATTGTGAAATAGAAAGCTGCATGACCCTCTCAAGAAGGCTGCTTCAGACTCTGCAAAATGGTTTTTGATATTAAATCAAATAATAAAAAGGAATCCAAGTATTCACCAAATTTTAACTCAATATTTGGTTCCATCATGGCCGTAATCTTCAACTTTTGGGGGCTGAATTTGCCTCTAGCTCAGCAAGTGAACAGAAAAAACAAGAGTGTTTACTCATGTAAAATTTTACCCTTCAGAGAAACTCATCTGGCGACCTTAACAACACCCTTATTGCGATCGACGCCATGCCCTGGACTGGCTACCTGCATAACCAGTACAGACCGGAGCACTTGCTGCGCGAGCTGAACAAGGCCTACGTCGGCTTCTGCTACCCCAAGGCCTCGGAGGCGAGCGTCTCCACTGGCCAGGAAGAGGCCGACAGCAGCAGTTACCACGACGCGCTGGACCAGTCCCTGGTGTCGACGGACGGGGCTGAGTTTGAGACGGCATCGTCCGGAGATGATCGCAGTCGTAAGTCAAAGCATTTCCTTGTCAATAAATGATTGTGAGTTACCTTATGAAGAGTTTGAATGATCGTCTTAAAACCCAAAGACAGTTTTGCAGGGCATTTTAAGAAAACAGTCCCGTTTTGCACATGGATTCAGCAAATTATGTTGCATGTCAGATATGAGTTACTTTTGTCAGGTTACCTTATATAGTGTAGACAGCAAAGACAATGCTGCTTCAGTGTTGTAGTCGAGATCACTTAAGACCTTCGCAAGACCACACGAGGCCAGCACAATACCAACACAAGGCCTCCAGTCTCAATTCAAGTCACAAGCTATTCAAATGAACTGCAACAAAAGCATTCCTTTGTCAGTGTTCACACTGTTACCTGTGACTGGTCTTGTGTCTGTCTTGTGTCTGGCCTTGTATCTGACCTTGTGTCTGGTCTTAACTACAACACTGTGCTACTTGCTGGTTTCCTATAAAATGGATGGCAGTCCCACATGTGTGAACCCACGCTTATAGTGCAATTCAGAAATCTGTATTTAGTTCATTTAAAGAACAGCGCATATAGTGGTTGTATCCCAAAAGGGGTTTCAGCAGGTAAAAGCTCTTTCTTTTTCTAACTAGAAATTTTTCCTCCTGCTTAATTACCTTAAGAAATCACAAAGGATTGGTTTGGATTTTTCAGGGAAGTCTTCCTGCAACTCCACCCTCCAGGCCTACGGAAGCTCCCTGAGTCGCGCCATCACGGACATCGCCATCAAGGATGTCACAGGCTCCTATCCCCGGCCCAGCCTCCCCCGGGATGAGTCCAGTGTCACCTCACTCAGCACCGTACTGACGGCGTCCAACGCCTCCACGCCCGTCAACGAGGGCAGCCCCAGGAAGCTTCCGGGAATAGCCGGGGAGGTTGCAGCCCTGGAAGGCTATGCCACTGGGTTGGCTCAGGACGTCCTGAAAGAGGGTGGAGCCAGTGGAACAGGAGAGGGTACCCGCAGTGACGCTAATACAGAGGGTTACAAAGTAGAGGCACAACTTGAACACCAGGCGATGACTTTGGTGAGAGAAGTCATCTCAAGTGCCGTGGGTACAGTCCGGGAAAGGAATGAGCAAGATATCCCTGAGAAGGCTACAGCAAGCTGTGATGGGGAAAACAGCAAAGAAGAATCACTGAGGGCCTCAGGTGATGCTGTTGATGGCGCTACCTCGAGTGATGTCAGAATGAGTGGTAGCACCCTGGCTGTCATGGCCCCTCCGCTGAAGCAAAACGAGTCCCAGGCTGGGCTGGAGTTCCACAGCGGCGAGTCCCGGAGTAGCAAGGGCTCCCTGGCCGACTACAGCATCATCTCCTCGGCCTCCGGCCAGTCCTCGGAAGGCTTCGTCAAGCTAAACGGGGATGCCGATCTGGCGTATCGACAACGGCACCCTAATCAGGCTTTCTCAGCCGAGGTCTTGGCTGCTGACATCATGCAGGACGCACTGGCAACGCTGCACAAGCACTTCAATATACGCTCAGGTATCCCCACGACCATCTCCAGTGACTCTCTGAACCTGAGCGAAAGCCACTCGGAGATGTCTGCGGCGAGAGATCGCTCGGGCTCTTTCGACATGCTCACAAGTGGCGATATCAGCAGCAGCCCGTCATTGTCTGAATATGTCCGGGTCAACCCTTTCAGCCTTGATGGATTGGCGGAGGACATCATGTCTTCTGCATTTCAGCAGCTGCAACAAATCCTTGAAGAGAAGGCAAGCAGGGATATGAATGGCAATCAGAAGAACAACAAAATGGTTATCCTGTCGGATACGGACGAAAGTCTGAGAAATTCTCTGAATAATAATGCGCCAAGCGACTATGAGGCCCTTGCCCAGGAAGACATCAGGAATGGAAACACGCTTCGAAGCAGCACTCAGGATAGTATCAGCCGAGAGGAGAATCGGAGAACCGGTGCAGCTGATAGCTTTGCCGAGAGATTGGTCGGGCATGTCTTCAACGACTCTCTGCTCGACTTGCAGAATCAGAGTCTCCTGAGCAATAACAGGGTGCGGCATCATGAGGAGCCCGACACGCCTCCGCCATCCCCGACAGACCCGGCCGAGATGGAAGCCAGCCTGCAAGCCTCCCAGTCCTTCGACAAGAGTCTGGTGACCATCTCCGAGCAGCCGGCCATCGAGGAGCCCCAGCCCCTCTACCTGGGTGATAAGCGGCTGTCAGCTGACTCATCAGGCACGGAGAGCAGCCAGTCCCGGGAGGCGCGCATCCGGGAGTGCGCCGAGCAGCTGGTGGCCCGGACGCTGCCGGAGTCCATGAGGCTCCTTGGTGGGAGCGCCCAGACTACCAGCAGCTCCAGCTCCCGCCGGACCTCCAGCCCCAGGAGCTCCATCCCGGACAGCTCTAACCGGTCCAGCCTGGACTGCTTCACTGAGGACCTGCTGCGCATCGGCAACATCAATCCTACCGGGAAGCGGCCCAGCCGCACCGAGGAGAGCCTGGCCTTCTTCGCCCAGGAGATCAAGCGGATGGCAGAAGCCGAGGAAAAGTCATCCAAGAAGCAGAAGGAGGACTTTGCTGACTTTGCCATAGAGCTGCAGCGGGGTAGCACCCGAGCCCAGCCTGATGAGAGCCCTGCGATGCATAGTCAATCCCTGGAGGTCCTAGCCGACCGTTACTCAGTCCAGGTCATATCTGATGTATTCGTCCAACTTTATGGGGAGCCGTGGTCAGAGGCCGAACACTCTGATCCAGAAGAGGAAAATGAGATGCAGTCCACCAGTGAGTGCGTTCTATCTGTCACAGAGCACCCTCAACGCCGTCCTTCGGAGCAGGACCTAATGAGCCTGGCGTCCAACCTGGCCAACTCCATCCTCGAGGCTGCGCTCAGAGTGTACCGAGAGGAGCACCTGCATCTGCCAGATGTGCACGTAAACCTGGATGCTGGGAGTTCCGACCTGGGCCACGACCAGTGCTCGCCTCCCGAAAAAGCCGATGGGGATGCAACAAGTTTCAAGACTTGCACATTAGACGAGTTCGCTTCTGTGACTGTGGATGCAGCCACCGAGGAGGCTTTCACACACCTGACAAAGTTCCTGAAGGATGGAGGAAGATTGGTTCAGGAAGTAGATGAAGGTGACTTATTAAGAGAGTGTAAGCAACTCCAAAGCCTGCTTGTTAAAAGCCCCAAATACCGTACATACTGTAAATAGTTATCTTTTAAAATATGTGACCTAATGATATTTAGGTGGTCCCTGCATTAATTCAATTACAGGCCAACCATAAAATCAAAAAGGGGTATTTTAGGTGTCATTATCTAGATTCTGATAAAGCACTGGCATTGTGCTCCCGAGATCAGAGGTTCAAATGCCACTGCAGTCAATTTCTTCATTCAATTTCATGGTTACATTCCAAATTTGTCAGTATCTCAGAATTTTTTTCTCGCAACAAATCCTCCAGAATCTCTCAACAGATGTCGGGGGGTCCTGAAGGCTTCTGATCCTAACATCTGCTTTATTTCTGTGTTTTTGCAGTAGGGCCAACGGGTCAGAGGCCGATTTCCACGGGTAATTGGGGCTGCGGGGCATTCGGCGGTGATCCGCAGCTGAAGTCACTGATCCAGTGGATGGTGGCATCGCAGGTGGGCTGCCCACGGATGATCTACTACAGCTTTGGGGACGAGCGAGTCAGCCGGGTGAGAGAGTCAAGTCTGTCCCAAGCCAACATGACTCCTCGAGCTTGTGTTTATCCCCATTTCCTCGGCATTAATACCACCGAGAATATTTCTAGTCAATCCGGAAGGGGTGGTGGTCCAGGCAGGTTACTCCCCCGGCTAATGTCAGAACCCGTTTATCCTCCTGGGTGGAGAGAGGAAAGAGGGGGTAAAGTGCCTTGCCCAAGGACACAACATGAGGCCAGCAGCCAGATTGGAACCCCTCACCCTCTGATCATGACCAAACACTTTTTAAGCTTGATGCAAAAATTGCTTTGTCAATGTTCGTTGACGTTGTGCAAACGAAGTCTTCAAAACAAGAAGGCTCAACAGAAGATTGACAAGTTGCTAAGAACAATTCCGTATTGTTCACAAGGGTCCGGTCAAGTAACCGCCGTGCACGGTCAAAGTTGTTAATTTCCACATTGAATGGGAATGAAACATGCGTACCCTCAGGTGTTAAAGAAACAACGTCCCGACACAGCAGTATTACTACCTCACAATTGAACGGCTGTTTCTCAATTATTTTTTCCCCCACAGCTGCAGCGAGTGGTCACCGAGATTACCTCCCGACAGTGGACGGTGGGGGACCTCCTGGGGGCAGTGCTTGACCACAGCTGGTTGACCCTCAATGTGGACGCCGAGCCGCTCAACCTGTTTGACCGCATCATCAACAGCGGATAATGCCCAGTCTTTCTAACCTAAGCATTCAGCCAGTCATCACTGGCCGCTGTACTTTAAATGAATCCAGAACTATATTTGCAAAAGAACATTTCCGAAGTCGCTGGAGTGGAGTCCATCACAAGTTCAGTTACAGGTCCTCTAATAGATTGTGAGGCCGTGTCCGAATCAAGCGGCTGCGGCTAAGGCTAACTCATGTCTGTAGGAAGTGGCTGCAGCTGCCAGCCATCGATTTCTATAGGTGCGTGTGTTACTTCAAGTTGCAGCCACAGTGTTTGGACACTTGCAGCTGAGTCTGCCTGTAATCCCAACAACTGATTAATTGTACAGTGACTACTGGTGTGTTGTGTTGGTGAATAAGCATTCAGCAACGCAGCAGACCATATAAACTTCTACACATCGGACAAGAGAAAATACACAGAAGATGGAATCTTTAGTAAACACAGATGGAAGTGTAATCATGTTTGAGTAACAAAACAAGCTCCTAATCGAATAACTATTCATCAAAAATGTCGCTATGATACGCATTAATTGGCCAGAACTGTGATTAGCAACCGTATGCTGGACAGTATACACTGTCGTATTTTTCATTAAGAGACAAATCTCAAATCCCTTCCTACATTGAAATTGTCTCTGTGAAAACACTTAACTTGGTCAAATATAACTACGCCACTGAATTATACGTATTGTTATGTATGGTGCTATCATTCATTTCCTTTAACCATCAAAGAGCCGGGGTATTTTTTACCATCGGGGGGTGGCAGATTCTGCTTCTTTTAAGAACTAGGCCGACCAGTGTCGAATTTTTAAAAAACTTGGCATGCATGTTAAAACACTCCTTATCAGTACAACTGTGGAGTTCAACTCAATCTGACATGTAGATCTGGGTTCACAGTCATTTGAAGGCCACACGTCACGTGTGCCAGCCGGCGTACATTGAGCTCGATACAAGTATACATTTTCGGCCGATCTGTTTCGATAAAATTGGGAGCTTCACAAGAACAGTGTGTTTGATATTCACCAACCTGGTGCCAAATACTGCAGAGAGTTACTGAATACACTTGTAAAGGCTCGGCTCTTGAAAGAAAACGCACTGTAGTGATACCGGAAAAAAAGGTTGAGGGGATTCCCCCCCCCACGGCTCTTTGAAGGTTAATCGTTTTAGCTGCACTCTTCTTGGCTGAATACAGAGATACTTACATCGAACCAAAGACTGCCCTTACAAACTCCCAAGTAACCTTAAATCCAGACAGTCTGTAAGTCAGAAGCTGAAGAAAAGTTCACCTTAAAAAAGATTCCTCTTTTTCTGCAATGATTATAATGCAACCTATTTATTAAATCAGCGTTATCTGTTGAATCACGCGGTTTTAAAGGAATCAATGTTTAGATCCCTATCTTTGTAAAAAAAAAAGCATTTGAAATCATGTCAATCAGTGTGATGAAAATTGGATACCCCAACTGTGAGGGCATCATCGTGAAGACAAGCGATGTTTAACATTTATGCATTTAATAGAAATCTGTAATGCACAGTTTTATTAAGAGGCATTTACCGAGTCCACCAAGTATGCTGAAAGATTAAGTAACTGGACTAATTACTGTGGCTTAATTTTTTGTTTTTAAACCTGTTGATTGTGAACAGAAATCTGAGTGTTTGTGATGTGGGGGGTTTGATGAAAGTGGCCAGGTTTTGTGGCAAAAGGGCTTGCTGCCAAGTCCAAATCTTAAAGTCTGATAATATTCTGATGTCTAAATGCACAGGCATCCGTGTGAAGTTAAATGTGCAAACACACATATTCCAGTTCACCCAAACCGCTTTATTGTCCATTCAAAAACTTTGTGTTTCAAAATGACACCATACCTTTGTGACAAAAAAGTCAGGCTCCAACCCATTGTAGAGTGTTCAGTAAGTAAAGTGGATCTGGGGATCATGATCTAAAATGGCTGCCTCATGTATAAATCCAATTCAGGGATTCTGGGGAAAAAAAAAGAATTTGACCTACCGTACCTCGTCATATTCTAGGGTAATTTTTTAGATTTGGGAAAACTACAAGACACCACTGCTGCGTACGCTTCCTTTACTGATTTTAAAAGCTTGGAATAGACAGCAGCCTAATGAGTCGCTACAGTGTTTAAAAAATCCAAGGTCTTTCGGGAGCAAAGCACGCGAGTGAGTCAGCGTATGGCTGCGTGGATAGGACAGACTGCCATGTGCGCACGTAGCTCTTCCCAAACAGCCTCCATATCAAACTGGTTTATTACGGTTGACCTTGTCATGTAAACCCTTATGCAGAGTCGAGCAAAAGAAGAAAATTGAACCGACTGTGTTCAAGAGTTAATGTGCAAAACACGTTTACCTCTCTCACAGTGTCACCATGAATTTTTCTCTCACACTCAAAATAGTCCTGGTTATCCCAATGTCTAATGGATGAACATTCTCCTTCCAGTTTTAAAGTCTGGTTATCATTTTCCAGATTTTGTTAGAACTTTGGTTTGCTGTGTTTCAGAAGTCTGTAATTTTACTCAGCATTATCATTTTAATGTTAAGTTTGGGTTTCGGGTTCTGTTTTCTCTAAAGCTTTTTAAAACAACATAATGGCTAGCATCACTATATTCTCCCTAAAGTTGAATCGGATATTTATGGTGCATATTTATTTATAGTTACTGCAATTCAAAACTGCCGATATTTGCCTGGTCGGTTTTTATATCTTGTGTTTTGAAAGAGTCGATACACGCGGACTTAAAGAGCACCAAGGTTGTCAGATTCAACAATTGTGCTGTGGTGGAGAGGCAGTTTACAAAAGCCAGGCAAAAAATGTCATTCCAAGTGAACCCTTACTAAGGCATATGACCCTATCAACGATCAGGCTTGTAAAGCTTTGGATTAGAAATATTTTGCAATCAAGTAAAGTGTGGGTTATTTAGTCTTTAAAAATAATTTCATTTGATTCTATAGAAAGGAATATCAATTCCAACCAGCTTCTCCATATTTTGAAAACTTAGACATGCCCACCTTGATTGGAAATTCAGAAGTCAATAACGATGTTTAATGAATGAACCTAGTGCAGATTCGTGTTTGAAATATCATATTTGGTGTTTAACTTTTGGCTAAACTTTCATTTTGTGTTTGAGTGGCATGACACACGAGCTTAATATAATTAATTGCATTTATTTTTTTATATTGGGAAATAGTGTTGGTGTGCCAATATTTGTAAAGACGTCTAATATAATGTAACATTTCAATTTTTTCAGTACAAAATATCCATGGTGGTTGCATATATATAGATTACAAGTCCAGAATATTTGTGTGCACGAGTGTGCTACTTCAATAATCTGTAGTAATTAATCATACATTTGGAGGAAAAAGTGGAAAGTAATAAATGGAATGGAAAAGTGACTAAAACATTGAATCAGTTTATGGGACTGTGTTAACCTTTGTGATAATGTAAGTATTCTTTTAATGTTGTTGGCTGTAAAAATTTCAGATAACATTGGCACCACACCCGTAAGTGTAAACTGTCCATTATAAATTTTCGGCGAAATGCCACCATCGCCTTTTTCCCCTGCCTATAACCCCTGATATGGTTAATTGTTTTTCAGGAGAGAGTTATGGTCATGATTATGCAAACTACACGGTTATCCAAGTTTTAAATGCCGTCAAATGATGTAGAAATCAAGTTCAGCAAATGCACTTTATAATCATGGGTGTCAATCCTGGGGGACACATCTGATATGATTTTCAATTTTGCGCTGGGATACGCCACCAAGAAAAAAATGACTGCAAAACCTTCATAAGCGTGGTTTTTACTCCAGCGACTTGAATGCTTCAGAAAATGGTTTTGAGTAACAAAATAACCCAGAATTCCTCCCCACGACGGATCGGAAACTTTGAAGTGCAACCCGGTCCCCTCCACTCGCGCCCACCGCGAAAAACAAAACTTTCTGCGGATCTTAAATAGCGCCCTCGTCGTTGTACCCCTCATTTTAAGGAGAGGAAACCCGTACTCCCAGAAGCCTATAAATAGGAGAGCAAATTTTCTGTAGGTTATATGCGCGAGCGCTTGATGCAGCGCTGACGAGAGAGAGAAACGGAGATACCCTGTTGCCGAAAATCGACGGATCTTCTCTCTATCCGTACCTAAAGCCGTTCAAGTCACCGGACAGTTGAAGGTGGAGAACATATAGACAAAAGTGAAATCGAATTCGGAGTATTTTGGAGACTCCTGCTTATGTGAAGAGTGGACTTTCCACCCAACTTTGTGAACGGATTGCACAGGTCCCCAGTGTGTTGTGCAAGATAAATGCGTAGCGTTACGTATTTGTAGTGTATACGTTGTGTGACGGCGTAGTTCAAGTGTGCGTGTGCACAGTTTGACTACCTAAGCAAAATGGCACTCCAGTTTCACGACTCCAAAGCCCCGATGCGCGACGTCAGACGGGTGCAGTTTGGTGTTCTCAGCCCTCAAGAAGTGGTAGGCATATCATTGCCTGTTGTTGAAGTTACAGGAAAGAAGGACGCATGTTATTGTTAATAACATGTTTAAAATTTAAGGTTCAAAAGTTTCAAGCCGGATTTCAAGAAATGTAAACATGATCAGGCCTAAGCCTTTGGGCCTAGTAAAGGCATTTTGCTGGAACCAGGGGAATGTTGGGGAATAGTTTCATGTTGTGTACAAAGTTTATCAGATAATCTGAGTTAGGGAGTGCACATGTAAATCATGATTCTTGAAGTAATAGGCCTGCCTTTGAAAATATTTAAGTTTTTGTTATGAGCAGAAGACAAACTGGAAATCAACTCAAATTTCTCTTTTGAGGGGGGAGTTCTTTTTTGTCTTACGTTGAAGCAAACTTGTGTGTAAAAATAAAAGTTGACTGAACACATGTAGTTAAATATACTCTTGCGACCTCGGATCCTTTGTGAATACTTCTAAGTTTTTGTTCACCAGGGCCTACATGGCCTAAAACATTAAATTTAGCCTGGTCTTTGGTTATGTTCAATTATTTTGTAAGTTTACTAGACCTATGCATCAAAATAGTTCAGACAACTGGACAATGAAAGGGTTTTGATACATGTCACAAATGTTGTCAATAAAAAAGTTGTATATTTCTCAAGTGTGGGATTTGGGCTGACTTTTGTTTTGATGTCCACGTTTTTGCCAGCGTCGCATGTCGGTGGTGGAGGGCGGCATCAAGTACGCCGAGGTGATGGAAGGCGGCAAACCCAAGCTGGGTGGGCTGATGGACCCCCGGCAGGGCTGTGTGGATCGCATCTCTCGCTGCCAGACCTGTGCCTGCAACCAGGTGGACTGCCCGGGCCACTTTGCCCACATTGAGCTAGCCAAGCCCGTTTTCCACCCTGGCTTCCTGACCAAGACGGTCAAGGTGCTGCGCTGCGTCTGCTTCTTCTGCTCCAAGCTGCTGGTTGACCAGGTGAGATGCGGGATCGATTACTCTCGTGCGATTGGGCTTGACGCTATTCAGTTAACATGATCGGTAGACCTCCGGAGCTTGAAATTTCAGTTGGATTTCCGCCATCTTCCAGAAGTGGTCGAACAGAATAGCCAAAGGCAAAGTGGTCGTCTAAAGGCAGAAACTTCAAGGTGTTTGTGACCTGGTTATGTGTTCATGACATTTTAAACTATGAAAGGTTGTTCTCAAGTGACCTTGTCCTGTCACGAGCTGGTAATATGTGAATGAAGTTTATTGTACTAGTGTGTATATCTGTAGGCAGTTAGATGATGTCAGCACAGTTGAAAGACTGCACCACAGGATTGGTCAATTGAGTCTGCTAGTGACTCCTCCCACAGATCCACCGATACCACCCATCACACACAAACACCATTTTGCTCTCTTAAAGTATTCCTTTGAAAGATTTGGACGTTTTTGTGTTCATGCATAGCAGGTTTGAAATGTGTATTTTTCCTGCTTTCAGTACTTCATCTGGATTTTGCTGAGTTCAGGATTTTACAAATAATCTCTGTAAAAATCTGGAAAATCCTGAGTTTTCCATGGAGGTGTTTTTTGGTAGAGAAGTTGATATAAACCATGAGAAAGAAGTATTTTGAGGGGTCAAGGGGCGTTTGTAGGCAAGCACAGATGCATACCGTAGACCCTACACTGTGGTGGGACCCTCAAAACCTGGGGTGATTATTTTGTGGATATTTGATTTTCTTCCATTCACGTGTTGGCAAAAGTATCATGATTGTTGCACAAAACGTCCAGAGTTTGTGCTTCTAGCTGGCTAAAGACATGCGTTTGCACACAAGCCGAAGTGCAGAATTTCCCCACTGGGATTTTGTAGGTGATGAACAGGACATTATGAGGCGTAATAGAGTGCTGATGTCTTACCAACTTCGCCCCCCCCCCATATTGATGGTCCTTCTTTTTGCCTTTCCAGAACCACCCAAAGGTCAAGGAGATACTGAACAAGTCCAAGGGGTTTCCCCGCAAGCGGCTGGCCCACATCTACGACGTGTGCCGGGGCAAGAAGATCTGCGAGGGTGGCGAGGAGATGGACCAGACCTTCAATGCCGACCTGGCCAAGCGGGAAGGGGAGGTGCCCGAGCCTCGAGCCCAGGTACAGTACCCATCAAAACAAGCACTGAAACCTTTGTTTTGTTTCGTCCAAATTGATTTGGCCCCAAAATGTGCCTTCGCCCTAAAAGCTTCGGGTTAAAACTTTCTTTGGGGGTGGGGGACATGGGATTATCTTGTGGGTGCTTTTCTGCGTAGCGGGCCAGGGATTCTGCCCTACTGAGATGTGGCTGACCTGTGATGAATTTTTTGAAACTTAAGCATGTAAATAAAGACATCCGTTATGAGTGTATCAATTACATTCCCATTCTGGCAAAGGTTTGTTTTTTTTCTGGTCACTTATAGTTCACACACTGAGGTGTGCCGACTTGTGCATCAAGCATCAATAAATTAAAAGTGAACATTTTGGGCTTACGTGTTTCGGACAAATTTACATTTTGTTAGAACGGAAGAATTGCTTTCGATTTCAATCGATAAGGAAAAAAAGCGTAGGATGGTGCAGAAATACACGAAGGTCTTCGGGAGTACAAGACAAAGCAGAATCATATTAGCTTCTTGCAAGTCCCTGAGGGCGCTATACCACTAGTCTCATGTCTTGTGCTGCTCTGGCACAAATACGTGCAAGGAGAGAAATGAATAATTTCATAGTTTTATACTCATTCAGTTGAAAAGGGATCTTGTTTGCAGCAAGTGGTTGAAGCGTGATCCCTGACTCATCAATTTGTGTACTGAATTACTCATTACATAAAACTGGGGATTTGTTTAAATTGGAATTTTTGTCAAGTAGTGTTGTAGTTAAGTACAGTCAGTTAATCAGCATGCTCATCTTGTGCCGTCAGTCAATCCTGTATGAAATATCCTTTTCTAACATCCAAGGTTTTCAAAATAATCTTTCACAACCCAAAAAAGGGCAGGGCAACGATCGAATGGCAGAGTTACCTGCAATTTTCGCGCAACAAGATCAACAGATTGTGCAAAGATCGAGCAATAGGGCGATATCGACCTAGAGTGCCCAACATTGTTGATAAAGACCCGCTTGAATGCATGTCCTCCATCAGGGTCACGGTGGTTGTGGGCGCTACCAGCCCCAAATCCGCCGGAACGGCCTGGATCTGACGGCCGAGTGGAAGCACGTCAACGAGGACACGCAGGAGCGCAAGATTGCCCTGACAGCCGAGCGCGTGCACGAGATCTTCAAGCGCATCTCGGACGAGGAGAGCGCCATCCTGGGCATGGAGCCCAAGTTCACCCGGCCCGACTGGATGATCATCACCGTCATGCCCGTCCCGCCGCTCTGTGTCCGCCCGGCCGTTGTCATGTTTGGTACAGCTCGTAACCAGGTACAGGCCAGTTCGCTTTACTATAAAGGTGTCCCAAAGTGTGCTCTAAAAATATTAATTTTTGAGAACATGTCGCTTACAACATACATCGCAAAAGAGATCGACAGATTTTTGGGATACTTGCCCCCCCCAAAAAAAGAAATTCACTTAACGAGCATCCCTCGGTTCTTTATAATTGGCCCAAATAAGTACATAAGATTAATTTCACCCAAGTGGATCATGATACCGCTGAACTGTCATTGGAACTTGGATACATGTGGACGTTGTGCAGTCCTGTAGCTTGTCCACCATGCATGGCACTAGATCATCACACCCTGTCCAAAATTTCACAACCGAATCTTCCAGCTCCACATTCCTCTAGAGCAGGAGTGATGTCCCTACACGGTGTTTCAGAACTGTGATAAAGAAAAATATTCCTCTGTTTGTCGATTTGTTGGATATCTGGCCATTCTCAAAGAGCGGGTGCCAGTAAAGGGGTGGTCTTTACCAATGTCGACCCAGCTGCCAAATCGCAAAGACATCAGCGGCACAGGATGTCTCTAAAGAGCTTAATGTGCCCTGCTTCTCACGCTCCCCTCTCCCAACTTTCTTTTTTAAACAGGATGATCTGACCCACAAGTTGGCAGACATCATCAAGGCCAACAACCAGCTGCAGAAGAACGAGCAGAACGGAGCGGCCGCCCACATCATCGCCGAGGACACCAGGATGCTGCAGTTCCACGTCGCCACCCTGTCCGACAACGAGCTCCCAGGACTTCCAAGGGTATGTTTTTTTTTGTTTTTGTTTTTTTCTTGATAGTTTTACCGTGATGGGAAAAAGTAACAGCAGGGGCAGAGTTTTGATATGAAACATGCACCTCAGCACTTGAACACGAAACTAACTGAAGATATATCAGCACTGATTTGATCAGAGAGTCCGGCAAAGTTTAACATCTCTTGCCGATTTCTGCCACTTGGACATTTTTCCAAGCTTAAGCTGTGTCCCCATTTCCAGCTACTGGTCGGAGTTTCTTGAATTAAATCGGACGAGTTGAGAGCTGTCAAGTTACTCTGGCCCTGTCGTCTGCCACAGATGCGCTAAACTGTCTGAAGCGAAACATTCTGGGTTTTTCTGGGTGTCTGGGTTTAATCCATCTCTTACAGTGAACTGGCCAACTGGTTCCAGATGTTGATGTGAAACTGATATCTGAGAAAATGCTGTAATTTTTAGACATCTTCCAGATTCTCTTGCAAAGGCCCGTGAGAAATTTGCATTTATTAACTCCTGCAAATTATGAGAAATGGGATATTTATTTTTGTTTGAAATCAAAACAGGCCATGCAGAAGTCTGGTCGGCCCCTCAAATCCGTCAAGCAGCGGCTGAAGAGCAAAGAGGGCCGTATCCGTGGTAACCTGATGGGAAAGCGCGTGGACTTCTCCGCCCGTGCCGTCATCACCCCGGACCCCAACCTGTCCATCGACCAGGTGGGGGTGCCCAGGACTGTCGCCCAGAATCTGACCTACCCGGAGATTGTCACGCCCTTCAACATCGACAAGTAAGCCGTGAAAATTTTGGGAAGGGGGGAGGGGTCACATTATAGCAGCTAAGCAAGTAGTTATAATGAGCAAATTTATTTAGCAGATTCCTGTGCTAAGCATAATTCAGTGGAGAACCAAAAGTAGGAAGTTCACAGTGTTTGATATTTAGGGCCGAGTCATTTTGAACAACTCACTATTTGAATATTTGACCTTCAATTTGATCAAATATCCGAATATTCAGTCGTACCGACTGGCAGATTGTTGAAGAATCCGTACACAAAATCAGTTGCAACAACACATAATTGTACATTATAATCACTATAATAGCTTCTCACGTCTAGGAGTATCTCCAGCCATGATTTAGCAAGATTTAATGATGAACAATACTTGTTTTCCTTAAAAATTTTTAATGAATAATTTGATTTTTGAATCGTTGTAAGACTTCTGTGGCTTTACATTTGATTGTGCTTGAAACCAACCTCTACTGTGCAATTTTTTCATTTAAAACAAAAGAAAATGCTCTTTTTGTTTTCCTGAATGCAAATCAAGTTTGCATTCGAATACTTGAATTTGGAAAATAATATTCGAGTATTTGATACTCGATTGAACATTCAGATATTCGGCACAGTCCTGGTGACATTATTGATTTTCAACCCTTGTTTGCTAAGCAGGTATTTGCCATGCTACTAGTAGCTCTAGAAAATTGACAAGGAAGCTTAAGATGATAGATAGGTATTTAAGCAATTACCCACTCTTGCTTTTAGGGAGAGATAGATAACAGTATTTATTCTTAGCCTATACAGGCTTCAAATTAAGCCGACCTCTGTCGGCTTAAAGCCTAACCTGTAAGGAATTTCTCCAAGATATTTATTCCTGATATATCTGAAGCCATGTTGGACAGTAATATGTAGTGTTGAATTCTCGTCACTGGAAGAAAACAGCCCAGATTCTTGCAAGAGACGACAAACCCAACCCCAGTGGTGTCTGAACCTTGTTTTGGTTTTTTTTTTTGTTTTTTTAAAACATCTTCACAAGAACTGCGCATTCCTGGAGTGAGCGGATGGCGTAGGCTTTCCATTGAGATGAATATCGGCAGGGACTCACTCTCTTGTTTCGTTGCAGACTCCAGGAGCTGGTGCGGGTAGGCCACAACCAGTACCCGGGGGCCAAGTACATCGTCCGCGACAACGGCGAGCGGGTGGACCTGAGGTACCACCCCAAGACGAGCGACTTGCACCTGCAGTGCGGCTACAAGGTGACGTTTGGATGTACACCCAGCAAGAAATGAGACCGAGGGGTACCCCCCTAATATGTCCAATCCCTATACACATTCCAGACTATTGTTGCTTAACACATCCCCCCCTCCCTAGATGTCTGAAAGGAATTCCCCAGAGTCCTGCGAGACGATGACCAACACAAAGCAGGGGGGGTTCTCTCCGTCTCATACCTCGCTGCATATGTCAGGATGTCCAGATTGAAGTTGGTTTCACGCAAGGTGCTGTTTAGTGACCTGGATTGCTCCTTGAACAGCAAATGGCCTGCTGCGCTTGGAATTCTTGTCTTGATTTCAGCTTCCAAATTCCTTCGTAAGGTCTCATTCTTTAAGCAGAACGCCTAAAATGGAAGGGCTAAACTTTAAAATCTTAATTTTATTCTCTGGTTTTTTTTGTACAGGTTGAGCGCCACCTTCGGGATGACGACGTGGTCATCTTCAATCGACAGCCCACCCTCCACAAGATGTCCATGATGGGTCATCGGGTCAAGATTCTCCACTGGTCCACATTCCGTCTCAACCTCAGGTACGCGTCGGCCCCAAATCTGCCGCCCAAACCACCGGAATGACCATTTTGATGCAGGGTGGTGTTGCCGTGACGATACACTCAGCTCGCTTTGAGTCCTGTGGGGCGCTGAAGAAAGTGAGGCGTTCCCTATTATTAAGCACTGTCTGAGCAACACGCAGCAGTGGTCAGCTTTAAAGAGTTTTTATAGATCCTGTGACAGGGACCTCGGCTTACAGCGACTGCCAAGCTAAATAGCCCATTTTTTTTTCCAAACACATCGACATCAACGTTGTCCTGCAATTTCAGCGGTTCAGTTATTGAAATCTGTCGTATTGAGGCGATCACAACTCTTTCAATACCCAGCCAAAATGAACATTACTCAGTCCCATCACTGAAGTGTGTTACCCAGAGCGGCCCAGGAAAAGTGTCATCTTAATCACTCATTTACCAAGTTAAAGGAAATGTGGCTGTTCAGATTCACTGTACATCTGAACGATTTCAAAGCACTCCGTCTTCAGATACGAATTTAAATGAATTGCATATTCATCAGCCTATTTGAGGCACGTTGGACACACTAGGAGGGCGCTATTTGAAGTGGGTAAATTGGGAATGAGCACAAGATTTTACCACCAAACCAAAATAGCGCCCTCCTAAATGTGTCCGCCGTGATTCAGGTAGCCTAGTGGAGCCCATCTCTTGCGACTGCTCAGAAACTGATTCTGCCCATCTAATCCTGCCCTCCCGCCTCACAGTGTCACCACCCCCTACAACGCCGACTTTGACGGGGACGAGATGAACCTGCACGTGCCCCAGTCCATGGAGACGCGGGCCGAGGTGACGGAGATCATGATGGTGCCCCGCCAGATGGTTACCCCACAGTCCAACCGGCCCGTCATGGGAATTGTGCAGGACTCCCTGACCGCCGTGCGGAAGTTCACCAAGCGCGACGTCTTCCTGCAGAAGGCGAGTTCCGGAAGTCTTTTCCTTGCCCACTTGTTTCAGAAAGTTTGTTTGTTCCTAGTGTCAAAGCGTTTGTCTTTTTTTACACGAGATTTTTGGCGAAGGAAGAAAATTGCATAAGTCACGTCAGAATCGTCTTTGAATCAAAGTGCAATCCTGTACAGATTTCAGTGTCATGTCTACGTGCATAATGTCGACAGGGTTCTCGGGAAAAAATCTCGTTGGGCAAATGCTGGATTAACAAGCTTTGACTTAAACACTTGAACAAGATCATGTTTGAGCACGAACGTGCGCAGTTAAAGTGACTTTGCGCCAACGTGTTACAGTCTGCGATGTGCCTCAACCCAGTGTTGAGAAGAGGTTTGCGGATTTCATCATTGATCTCTCTCGGCATCCATTGCCACTCCGACATTTTATCTGAGAGCCGACGCTCCAGATGGAAAAACAAAAACCAGAGTGCAGTGATCGGAGATGAAATGGAGTCAGTCACTGGCTGAAGCATAGGTCCGATCGCAGGTGAAGTTAGATTTGTTGAAGCTGTCCGAGATTCAGCAATCGTATTTAATTTGAATGGGTTTAGATATGACTTGTGATTGGCTGCTGGCGATGACTCGTCATTGGCTGCCGGCGAAAGGTGATTGGCTGGTGATCGCCTGCAGTCACTTGCGATTGGCCGATAATATAATTTGATGGGCTTGTGGTCACCCGTGATGACTAGCGATTGGCTGACGGTGACTTTTGAGAACTTTCTTTTCCAACAGGAAGAGCTGATGAACCTCCTGATGTGGCTGCCCAACTGGGACGGTCACATCCCCCAGCCGGCCATCATCAAGCCCCGCCCCCTGTGGACAGGTAAGCAGATGATGTCGTTGATCATTCCGCCAAACGTCAACCTGATCAAGGCCCACAGCACACACCCTGACGAGGAGGACCGGGGACCCTACAAGTGGATCTCCCCCGGTGATACCAAGGTAAAGTTCCACACCTTTTTGGTTCCCTTAACCCTATTCCTGCCCCTTCAGCATTTTGCGAGGAACCGTCCTGCATCTTCCGAAATTCTCCCGTCTGGAACCAAACGGCTCATTCTTGGGACCCGAACTTTCCAAGACATCAAGTCTCTTAAAAAGCAACAGTGGGTGGCGCTACAAGTTCTCAGTCCTTCACAAATCTAGTGGAGTTTGAACGTTCGTAGAAACCTAATATTGAACATGGGCGCAAAAAGAAAATATTGACCTTTAAATTTCAGTTGCAATATTCGGGTCTTTTGAGAAACGTTGCATGAATTGTCCGGTCTCTTGAAGAGAAATTTTCAAAGAAGTAAACATTTAGCAGATATATTTGCAGCAATATGAGTGTACATCACTGCTTGAAGCAGTGTCTGGTGTTTCTCAGTTCATAATCACTTGAAAACTAGGCCTCCAAGTGCACGGAGACTTCAGGAAGTTGAATCATCTTATGTAGTAGAAACAATTTGTGACCGAATGAAATTGGTCATTGTGTTTTCTGCCCGTCCTTGTCAGGTGTTGATCACCAACGGGGAGCTGATCTCGGGCATTGTCTGCAAGAAGACCATCGGGGCCTCCGGCGGCTCCCTGGGCCACGTCATCTTCATGGAGCGTGGCCCCGACGAGACCCGCGACTTCTACGGCAACATCCAGACAGTGGTCAACAACTGGTTACTGCTGGAGGGCCACAGCATCGGTGAGTGGTCCACTCCTGGCAGAAGTAACACCCCCCTACCCCCTTCCTTCCTTTTCCCACCGCCCATTAGTGACAGGATGGTGAGGCAACCGTGTCTCGGCCAGATGCCCCAGCGACGATGGTAGAATCCATTGAAACTTGGTTGTGGGCACTCCACACCGTGGGCACTCCGTACCGCGGGCATGCCAACATGTACCCGTAGAGGGTCTGTCTACCAAAAAAAGATGCCTCGTAAAAGCATGCCATCTTTTATCCACACGAGGAACCATAGTCATCCAGTGTGTCCACGCTAGCACCCGTGGAGGTCATGTTTAAATTGGGGATGTTGTGTGGTGGATGACTGCAGCATTCCTTCGGGTGTCAGTCATTTCACAAGCAGGCTTTGGAGCAGAGTGTCTGTAATGAATGGTAGTGTGCCATGACGCCGCACAACATTGACCATAACCCTGCCCCAAAACAGCCTGATTGAACAGTGATGAAAAGGTTATCTTGTATTTGCCTCGAGCAGAAGCACCTCTTCATCGGTTGCAAAGAGCTGCACTTGTCGGAAAAGTTCCATTTGTTGGTAGCAATGCGACTGTGACTCCTGCATTTCCACGTCAGTCGTGAGCCGGCAAAGCTCAGATGGGACCAATGGAGCCTCCGTTGCTGAGAAATAGCACCCTCTCTTGGCCCATAGGATGGAGCAAAAGTGACAGGGAACTCTTTGCAACTGCTGTCAGACAGAGCTGCGCAGTGTCACAACATCCACCGTGTCATTTTGTTGCATCCAGCCAGGATTCTCATCCCAGCTGTGTCGGATTCTTTTGATGTGTGAGAACGGTCTTGAGAAAGCCTGATCGGGGTTAGGGTTAAATCTTTGAACGGTCTGAACGGTCACAGACTGTCACAGATATTATCCGCTTCTCCTCCTGCAATCATTACCTTGATGGATGTATTCCATTTCCATGCTCACAGGTATCGGTGACTGTATCGCCGATGCGCAGACCTACGAGGACATCCAGAACACCATCCGCAAAGCCAAACAGGAAGTAATAGAGGTCATCGAGAAGGCCCACAATGACGAATTGGAGCCGACGCCCGGCAACACCCTCAGACAGACCTTTGAAAACCAGGTAATTTGACAGATAATGCCTCTCACGATTGCAGCCCCAACAAGTTTCACCCAAAACCTAGACATCCCAAATCCTTGAAAATCCAGCGAGTGCTTCTCTAGAGGATTTTGAAGGGTTCAGTACTGAAGGCCTAGACACTGTTACACTACCTGGGGGCTACTTGCCCCAGTCTCTTTCAGGTACAAAGCACGTGCCCAGTCTGGGTTTAAGATTATTCAGTAAGGTTCTCAGCAAAAGATGCATAGGAAGTTGGGGTACTAGACTGATTTAAAAATTCAGCATATTGGTATTGAATGGCGTGGCGGGTGTACTTGGCCCCACTGTGTTTCCTGCAAGTTCTCCTTGGCATTCCCCAGTCATCCAAAAGATTTTGCACACCCTTTTGAGGTTTTAGGAACTGATTAACCGTCGTCCTGCATTTCCCCATCCAGGTGAACCGTATCCTGAACAACGCCCGTGACAAGACCGGTGGCAGTGCCCAGAAGAGCCTGTCCGAGTTCAACAACTTCAAGTGCATGGTGGTGGCCGGGTCTAAGGGCTCCAAGATCAATATCTCCCAGGTAAAGCTGGGAACGCCCTCCGTCCTCCCTGCTTGACCTCGGGAACCCTCACTCTGGCCTGTGACGTCTTTTCCACATTGTCTTGAGCCCACTTTATGGACCTTTTTAAATCCCCATGCATTTCTGTTCGACCTCTGCTTGATGTCCCTTTTCACAGTCCCCTCTCTAAGACCTTGGAACACCTTTTTTCCCCTGTGTCCCCTGTTCGTTCCCCTGTGACCTTTTCCCAGTCCTGACCCATTTCCACGACCTGTCTGCCTTCTCTGCACTCCATCTCATTGACAATTTCAAGCACCTGTGCCCTGTCCACCACCACCGAATAACCCAGGGCTGCTAGAGACCATGAATATTCAATTCATGAATATTCAATGAATTCAATGAATATTGAATATTCAATGAATTCAATGAATATTCAATTCATGAATTCATTGAATATTAATGAAATGAATATTCAATTCATGAATATTCAATGAATTCAATGAATATTCAATTCATGAATATTCGTTTCATAACTGTTCATATTCTTACCCAGGTTATCGCCTGTGTGGGCCAGCAGAACGTGGAAGGCAAGCGTATCCCCTTTGGCTTCCGCCACCGCACCCTGCCCCACTTTATCAAGGACGACTACGGCCCCGAGAGCAGAGGCTTTGTGGAGAACTCCTACCTGGCCGGCCTGACCCCCTCAGAGATGTTCTTCCACGCCATGGGCGGCCGAGAGGGTCTGATCGACACCGCCGTCAAGACTGCCGAAACCGGTCAGTGGCAATTTTATGTCATTGTACCCAAAGGGGGCTAAGCACACAAATCTTCCTAAGCTGTGAAGCTATTTGCTTAGCAAGAGCGGGTTACCAGCCAAATATTACGAACATGCATTACATATTAGCCATCACTGGATCCCAGTCGATTTTTGCCTAGCAAGTAAATTTGCTAAAGCACAAATTTATACTGAGCAACGCTTTGGGTCCTGAACATTGTTTCATTTTGAAATCCCGCCGGGGCGCTGAGGGAAACACAGCGCATTCCCAGCTTCTCTCCTCTGTGCAAGCTGCTGGAGGGCCCCTGTTTCGAACTTGCCTATTTTGTTTCACTATAGTTTTCTGAAACTGTGGTGCGGGCTTCCATCTGTCGTGTGATCATGTTTAGCATGAATTGTGTAAACCCAGTCTCAATTACCTGAGTGTCACCGATGAGCGGTCCCCACTTAATCAACTTTATGTACGCTTGGAAGGTCGGTTTGTCAAACTGTAGAACAGATCTTTATTGCGATGTACAAAGAATGAAGCAGCCGACTGTTGTCGTGTAGAATTTGGTCTCACTGAGTGAACTTGTCCACGTGCTTAGCAGAGGTTTTCTGGGAACCAGCCATTTGGCAGTGTGAGGTGTGTGACATTCTGGCTGGTAGAAACCGAGTTTTTGCTTAGCATTTCTCAGCAAGCATTTAGTCAGCCAATCTGGCAGGCGTAAAGGTCACATGTAATTGTGCAATCACCCTGTCCTTTTGGTGCCTCCACAACCCGTCTCTCAATCACCCTCTGACCCACAACCCTGCCCCCTCCCAACAGGCTACATCCAGCGGCGACTGATCAAGGCCATGGAGAGCGTCATGGTACGCTACGACGGCACGCTGCGTAACAGCAATGACCACCTGGTGCAGCTGCGCTACGGCGAGGATGGGCTGGACGGCACCAAAGTGGAGTTCCAGAACCTGCCCACCCTCAAGCCCTCCCACCGGGCCTTCGAGAAGCGCTTCCGCTTCGACTGCACCAACGAGAGGTGGGTATCCGCGTGAGGTTCCGAACTCGCCCCCCCCACTTTACTTGCAAAGACAAGGCAAGCTGGTTCAGACGTTTCTCCATCGTGTCTCGATGACGCGCATAGCACATGCGTTGCAGACCTTACATTTCAACAGAAATCGGTTCCGCGTGCTTGGCCTGCCCGGACCAAACATACCTAAACCTGTGCGGCTCGCAAAAGCACACCCTCTCTTGTTCCTGTTCTGAGAGGATTGCAACACATCACTTAAAACCAGACCCCTTCCCCCAGGAAGGCCACAAACTTTTCTGGATTTCTCATTCCAGCACGATGCAAAATGTGAGCGTACGTTAACCCCTACTAAGATAAGGTATTGTACAAGTGCAGACATTAATTTAAGATTAAAGACATTAACCCTAACCCCTTAGGGTGTATGTAAAATCGTACTGAAATTGGAGGAGTTGGGACTGTTAGGGTTAATGCCGGATAGGGTTAGTGGGCCTACTTCTACACAATACAGGGGCTTGGAAGTCCTGTGCTTGATCGCTTTCATTGAAATCCAAGTGCCAAAAAAAAAGTCCATTCGATAACGTCTATAAACACCAACTTCGCATGACGAGGCATTTCGACTAGAGCATGATTGCGCTGTATAATAAATTTCTAGCCGTAGATCTTGAGTCTGTGCAGCTGTTGAGAGTTGGCCACTTGTTCCTGATCATTTGCAGAGCGTTGCGGCGCAGCCTGACGGAAAACATCGTCAAGGACGTAGTAGCCAACGCCCAGGTCCACCTGGAGATTGAGAAGGAGTACGAGCAGCTGAGGGAGGACCGGGAGATCATGAGGAAGATCCTACCCATGGGAGAGTCCAAGGTGGGTGGCTGAAACGAGCCCTCAAAGTCACTCGCAAACAGAGCCAACTCGGGAATTGCCGGCAGCCTAACTCCTTCAGCTATGCAGGACGGAGGAAGGCTTGAAGCTGCTCGGATGTTCCAAGTCCAACCTATGTTCCACCGTATTCCTGCACAGCTTAGGATTTTGTTGGACAGCTGCAAGCTCCCCACAAACAACACCCAGAGTTATAAGCCCCGCACGCATCACTTGGCAATGTGCTCTGTAACGAGCCGTAGCCAAGTCGTGCAGCAGGCGTGCTACAGATCAGAGTTTATTGTAGATCCCGTTCACAGATTGTAATTTGTGTGTTTGACTTATTTCTAGGTTGTCTTGCCCTGTAATCTGGAGCGCATGATCTGGAACGCCCAGAAGATCTTCCACATCAACCCCAGGCACTCCACAGACCTGCATCCTTTGATGATTGTGAAGGGTAAGAAGGAACTATATGAAATAAGCTCGCCTTTCAAATCCATTCTATGGCAATTATGTTCATTATCAGCGTTTCCTGCCCAAGCCCTTATTACCAGACCTGTGATAACATACTGCAACAAAGAGTAGACAGATAGGAAAGCAGTCAACGTTGACTCATGCGCACACTGGTTCATGTGCACGCGGCACCAAGTTCTCAAGTTTTCATTAGAATGAGCACAAATGTTTCACATGGTCTGTGTGTGGGCACTAGTCGGTGTGCCAGAGTAAGTCCAGCCATTCTTGTTATATTTTTGGTAATGAAACCAAGGATTCCTCAAAAATAGCCCACGGTACTGTAGACTCGAGAGCCTGAAGAAACCTGTAGAAAGAAGTGCGATGAAGACGTGTTCACTTTTAGAAGTGGCAGGAAAGCCGCAGAATAAATACCACAGCATTAATTCACAGAATCAAGCTGGGAAAAAGAAACTTTACCCACGAGTTAGCTCGGGTGGAATTCGAACCCGGGCCGCAGAGGTAGAAGTTGATCAAAATACTGGTGCGCTAACCTGTCTTGCTCTTTGTCACGACGACACTCGGGGCACACTGTCCGTGACAGCGGTGCTCTTTTTTCTCATTCGGTGTCGTTTTTTTTTTTTTTTTTTCTTCATTCATCAGGCGTCCGGGACCTGTCCAAGAAGCTGATAGTGGTCAAAGGGGAGGACCGCATCAGCAAGCAGGCCCAGGAGAACGCCACCTTGCTCTTCAACATGATGCTGCGCTCCACCCTCTGCTCCCGCCGTGTCATCGAGGAGTACCACCTGACAAACGAGTCCTTTGACTGGCTGCTCGGGGAGATCGAGACTCGATTCAACCAAGCTCTGGTAAATATTGGGGAGAGAAAGGAGGGGTTAGGGTTCAGGGAGGAGGAATGACCTATTTGTTCACAGTGACCCACCTTCCTCATACTGTGTCAGTCGTTGGCAGTGTTTTGATCAAGTTTGTCTCGTTTAACAAGTCGTCTAACGAGTCCAGTGGTGCCAGATAAACATGAATTACAATATATTCCAATGGACTTGACTGTACTTCAGATTGACAGAAACACTCTTCGGTTCTCCTTGTCTCTAGACCCTTAAAACCTTTTCAGTTTTGGCACAACACGTTTGTCCTCTGAGTTCTGATGCATATTTCAAAGCCCTTCAAAATGATTTTTCTTTTGAAGCGCTTTACAGTAGCTATTGAACACATCCAATCTCTCAGACGACAAAAAGAAGGGCTTGGTTAATGTGCCAGAAAAGGTGGTAATCAGTTATGAACTTGTTATGTGTGAAGTTGATTATGAAATACAGACAGAAGGAATAAATAGCCAGGAAGGAGATGAGGAATTACCATTATCCAAAATTAAGGAAACAATTTCCGAACCCAGGTCCACCCTGGTGAGATGGCGGGTCCACTCGCCGCCCAGTCCCTTGGGGAGCCGGCCACCCAGATGACCCTCAACACCTTCCACTACGCCGGCGTGTCGGCCAAGAACGTGACCTTGGGTGTGCCCCGCCTCAAGGAGATCATCAACATCTCCAAGAGGCCCAAGACCCCCTCGCTGACTGTCTTCCTGGTTGGGCAGGCAGCTCGAGATGCCGAGAGAGCAAAGGTAACTACCCGACCAAAAGCGTGATTAATCTAATGAGTGATTTTTGGAATACCGCCTTTTTTACATTGAGAGAGGAGGTGCAGATTGAGCAGAAATGTTGGAACTTGCGAGATGTTTCTCTGATGTTGAAGATGATCAAGTGGCACGAATTTGGGCGGGCTACAAAACCTGCAGCAACCCGCAGAGGGTGCGTTCCCACTGAATTTTTGAGCCCCTCCTGAGCCAGCTTCCCATCTGACGCTTACTCTGTGCTGGGAGTGCTCGTCAGAAGTTGTTTGATCCATACGCCCCAGTAGGGGCTGGGGTTTCAAGTTTGAAAGTTCAGTTCAGTCCAGGTAGAAGAAGATGGGGGTGATCCCATCATGGAAAAAGGGCCAAATAGACTTGTGCCCCAAATTAGACTGGACACACGCTCTTAAGCTGCAAAACAGGAAAAAATTAATGCTGTTGGGGGATTCTGCCGGTGTAACCAAGCTCAAATGCATGCCTTCCATGTGAAAAGCTTAACATATTTGTGCACATTCCGAGGAGAATCATTGGCTGATGTGAGAAGGTTGCACGGCAGCCGCACCTTCTACTGTTCCTGCAAGGAATGTACATTCGAGTTGAATCTGTTTCATACTTTTTCACCCCTTTGGTTAGGATATCCTGTGCCGGCTGGAGCACACCACCCTGCGCAAGGTGACAGCCAACACGGCCATCTACTATGACCCGGAGCCCCAGAACACCGTCATCGAGGAGGACCAGGACTGGGTCAACCTCTACTACGAGATGCCCGACTTTGACCCGGCCCGCATCTCCCCCTGGCTGCTGCGCATCGAGCTGGACCGCAAGCGCATGACAGACCGCAAGCTGACCATGGAGCAGATCGCCGAGAAGATCAATGCGGGCTTCGGCGATGACCTGAACTGCATTTTCAATGATGACAACGCTGAGAAGCTGGTGCTCCGCATCCGGATCATGAGCAGCGAGGAAAGCAAGTTCGGCGAGGTGGGTTTTTGGGGATATTTGAAAAATCTGAGGGAAGAGTGAGTTTTTTTTTTACCTCATCATCACCACAGTCCTCGAATGTGAATCATAGGAATCGGCAGGAGAATTACAAACTGGGTTTTCATGGGGAAGCCTGTGAAAGCACAGAGCCCATCATCTCGACGCACATCCATTGGATCGTTCCGCTGGTGAACCCATTTTCGGTGGCTTGTTTTACAGGAAGAGGAGCAAGTGGACAAGATGGAGGACAACGTCTTCCTGCGCTGCATCGAGTCCAACATCCTGACGGACATGACCCTGCAAGGCATTGAGCAGATCAGCAAGGTGAGAGCAGCGAGGCTTTGCCCTCTCTCTGGCCCTGACAGGTTGCCTGAAACACCGTCGGGTAGAGGTGTTTGAGTTGCTCCCGGGGCCACATCTTTTGCTCATTGGGGGGGGGAAGCTTCCTGTCGTTCACATTTGGAGACTGTGGGAGCGGGCCGAAATCCCGGCTGCCCCATGACCAGTCTTTTTTAAACTTGGCAGGCGTGTGAAGATATCCATTTTGAATATTTGTGTAAAGTTTCAATTCGATGGAACTGAGGATTTTATTATGGAAATTTGTAGTTCACAGTCTCAGTGACGTCAGCACATGGATTGAGCATGTCAAGGAAAGTTAACATTCCTGGCCGACCTGTTTTGTAAAAAAAACGGCCATTTTGCTCGAACGGAATGGTCAGTTTTCACCTAGTTGGTGTTAAAATGACTGCAAGACATCAGAGAAACTCCCAAAGGCTTGGCACACACAGATTTGTTTAGAAGCTGCGTGTCGAGAAAGCATTGTGAAATGCTGTTCCCTGCTCTCTAATCTTTTGTCACAGGTGTACATGCACCTGCCTCAGCAAGACAACAAGAAGCGCATCATCATCACAGAGGAGGGCGAGTTCAAGCCCATCCAGGAGTGGCTTCTGGAGACGGACGGCACCAGCATGATGAAGGTACTGAGCGACAAGGAGGTGGACCCCGTCCGCACCTTCTCCAACGACATCTGTGAGATCTTCCAGGTAAGCGGCCCGTTGTCAGACCCTCTAGCGAAGAGGCGTTGCCCCCAGAGCAACTCGGCTAGCTTCAGGAAGCGCGAAAGATGCGCACAGTCGACAAGAGAGTAGCCCAGAGCATGCTTATTGCAGGAAGACTTCCGCGCGAGTCCAGATTCACCTTCGTTACCCGAGCTGTGTTTCTCTTAAGCGTGACCTTGGGAAACCTTGGGGCATCCACAGATAAACTGAGTCTCCCCTGCTCTCAACCGATGCACTCTCCAACTCAACCATAGTTTTTGTTTATCGGGGTTACCCAAGCAGTTTCATTTTTCCGTGTGAGTTTTCGTATGTCCACGTCACTGGCAAAAGCTGTAAATCCAAAGAGGATGTTGTCGAAGCAGCTACTCCATGGAACTCGTCTGTAACTTGCGTTCATCAGGGATGTGACTTTCCAGGCTTTTTTTCAGATTTCAGGATTTTTTTTAATCCCAACAATTCATCACTTGCAGAGGTGTAATCAATTGGGCTTGGTGCTGTCTTGCACCTGTCAACAAAAACACTAAGTCCACTTGCGAGAGAGCTCATGCCGTGATAACTTTTAAAAAGCCCAGGAAAGTGTCAGTATGTTGTCGTCGTTACAACCGCCCCGTTGCTTGATGGTTTCTTGAGTTCTCACACCATCCCGCAATCTCACCCCCGGTCCGTTCTCCCTTCCAGGTGCTGGGCATCGAGGCGGTGCGCAAGTCGGTGGAGCGGGAGATGAACCACGTCATCTCCTTCGACGGTTCCTACGTCAACTACCGTCACCTGGCGCTGCTCTGTGACGTCATGACGGCCAAAGGCCACCTGATGGCCATTACCCGTCATGGCATCAACCGGCAGGATGTGGGCGCCCTCATGAGGTGCTCCTTTGAGGAAACGGTATGCACCCTTTTGAAAACCCTCTGTCTCAATTCCGACATATGTAGACCAACTTTTTGCATTAAGTCTAAAATATGCCCATCTAGGGTACATACAATAATCCAAGTGCTGGACAGGATTTTAGTCTAGCACCTGTCTTGCAGGGTACATATTCACATGTTCTGAGTCCACGCACCAGCGTTTAGACCTGTATTTACATAATTGACTAAGGCAGTGGTCCAAAACGGGTTTCCAAATTTCGGTTTCAGCTCAGCTCTGCGTATTTTCAGTGGAGCAAAGACCTAGACAACAGATTCAGTTGCAGCCTTACTGTCTGTGCATTTTTTGGGGTCATGTCTCTAGGAAGATCTTCAAGTTCTTCAGTGTCTACAAAGGGTAACATGTACATGTACATTCTCAAAGTGGCTTGAATATGCAATCAAGGGTCATGTGGGCTCCCCTTGTGCGACTCTCGGGAGAAGGTTTAACAGCGCCCTCAACAGTGACCACACAAAGCCATCGGAGAAAATTAAATTCATGTGTGCCTTGAAAACTGAGATTGATTGTTTAAGAGAGTGCTGTCCGTGCCCGTGCTTCTCCCTGACCCGCAGGTGGACATCCTGATGGACGCAGCCGCCCACGCAGAGGTGGACCACCTGAAAGGCGTGTCGGAGAACATCATGCTCGGCAAGCTGGCCGGGGTGGGTACGGGTTCCTTCTCCCTGCTGCTGGACGCCGAGAAGTGCAAGCACGGCATGGAGATCCCCATGGGCATGGGCGGTGGCCTCGGTGAGTCCGGCGGAAAACAATGCCACTTGTCAAATTCATGTGCTTAGCAGAAATTAACCTGTCTCATGAAATATACTTTGTATGACATTTGGGTTGGTTACCTGTATGTGCTGGGCAGATGTTTTCCGTGCGTAGGAATTTTCTCTCCAGTCTGAGCAGAACAAGAGAGGGTGTAGTTTTACATGAAAGTGACAGACGTCAGTGGTGACTCACCATGTAGCGTGCACAGATTTATGTGCAATTTGGCGAGGGGTGTGCTGAGCACGTTTGACCAATTTATGTTGGAATCATGCGGTTTTGGTCTGTGCACGAGACTGGTTTAGGCTGCAGTCTTTTATATATTTTGTGTTCGATCTCATTCTCAGGTGGTATGACAGGGATGTTCTTTGGAGCGGCCGCATCGCCCTCTGCTAGCATGTCACCTCAGATGACCCCTTGGAATCAAGGAGCAACTCCTGCTTACGGTGCTTCGTGGTCACCTATGGGTAAGTCAATTTCATGTCTGAATTTATGGGTGCAGCGTTCAGGTTAAGTAGTTGGTGATAGTAACTAGTTGCTGTATACTTGGAAATACACAAGAAGCAAACCAAGAACCCCGGTTTTGTGCCAACAGGAAGCGGGATGACCCCTGGAGCAGCAGGCTTCAGCCCGTCTGCTCAGTCGGATGCCAGCGGGTTCAGCCCTGGCTACAGCCCTGCCTGGTCCCCACAGCCCAGCTCTCCAGGTTCCCCAGGCCCAACTAGCCCTTACATCCCATCACCGGCCAGCCCAATGTCACCCAGTTACTCCCCAGCATCGCCGTCGTACATCACTGGCTCGCCAGCCACCCCTCAGAGTCCTGGCTACTCACCTACGAGTCCTTCCTACTCACCATCCAGTCCTGGCTACTCACCCACGAGCCCAAGCTACTCTCCGACCAGCCCGAGCTATTCCCCAACAAGTCCGAGCTACTCTCCAACCAGCCCCAGCTACTCGCCAACGAGTCCGAGCTACTCGCCCACAAGTCCGAGTTACAGCCCAACCAGTCCAAGTTACAGCCCAACCAGCCCGAGTTACAGCCCAACATCACCGAGCTACTCCCCAACAAGCCCTTCTTACAGTCCAACTTCGCCCAGCTACTCCCCAACCTCGCCCAGTTACAGCCCCACTTCGCCCAGCTACAGTCCCACCTCACCAAGTTACTCCCCAACGAGTCCCAGCTACTCACCCAGCTCGCCAAAGTACTCCCCGACCAGTCCCAGCTACTCACCCACCAGCCCGAGCTTCTCAGCCAAGTCGCCCAGCTACAGCCCGACATCACCCAGTTACTCCCCAACCTCGCCCAGCTACAGCCCCACATCCCCTGCGGGGTACTCCCCTCAGTCGCCCAGTTACAGTCCTGGATCACCCAGCTACTCCCCCTCCAGCCCCAAGTACTCGCCTTCCAGCCCTTCCTACAGCCCGACGTCACCCAGCTACAGTGGGTCCCACTTCACCCCGACCTCGCCCGAGTACAGCCCCACCAGCCCCACGTACTCCCCAGCCAGCCCCAGCTACTCCCCGTCCAGTCCCAAGTACTCCCCGTCCAGCCCCAA